GCTGACCTACTGAGAACCGACAAATTACAAATATGAAACAAAACCGATGTGTCAAATGAAAGGCACTATAAGTGAAATTGAGATTTTGTCTAACTTCCTGTCCGTTCTTGCAGTTACCAGTCCCCTCCTCCCCTCCTCCCCTCCTCCCCTCATCACCACACTGACATTCTGCTGCCTGCTCTTGAAGACCACCTCTTTGTGGAGTTCTCTCTCCCGATTGGATAAAGTAGGAATGGGTTACCAGAAAATGTATTCTCAGTTTACTGCAGAAGGCAGGGACTGAGAGACCCATGTTACTGACTGAACACTCTTATATCAGTGATGGCTGTCGGTATGTAGAACTATCTAACTTAATTTAACAACAAAAAATATTGCTTACAGTACCTTTAATCATTACTTAGACAATCATCTCAGACAAAGCAACTATGAAAAGTCAGGGAATGACCAAAATGATTACATTTCCTTCTGAGACAAACATGAATGTCTGTACCAAATTTCACACCAATAGTTCTCAAGATATTTCACTGAAAACCACAAATGTGAACCCCACTGTGTTACGAGGAAAAGTCAGAGCATCAGCAAAGGCAGAAGGATCTATCTTTTGGGAACCATGAATGCCTGTACAAAAAGTAAAATATTTTACAAGATGAATGAAAACTCATTGCTGTTGATGCTAAATAAAAATTCAAGCAATCATCACAGTCAGTAGAGACCATGAATTTCACATTATCAATCCAGTAGATGTTGAGATATTTCACAAAAATAAAAAAAAAGTCCTGAGATGAAAAAAATAAACATTAACATTTGTAATAGCAAACTATGCACTTCAAGGCAACATCGCTACTTTCAAGGAGAAAGTGAATTATTCCTAGACACCAAAGAATATGTAGGCCAAAGTCACTATGCAGATATCATTGCCACCACATTCTGCAGATGCTCTGCTGCAGCTCTTCTCTCTCAGTGAACAATGGGTGTTATGTTTTTTTATGGTTGTGTGAATTAAATTGTCACTACAAGCTTTGCTCTTGCTTCTCTGTGCAACAAAGCTATTTGTGTTTCTGCTGGAGCTGCGGCATGTGTCATCTCATTACCGCCTCCAGTTCAATCTACCGAACACTAGTCTTTAAAGTAGTGGAGTGGAAAAGAGGAGAGGCTCTATTTTACAGGTTCCATAATTTCTTAATAATCTCCTAGAAGGTTTCATGAATGGACCATGTAATTAGGTACTAATAACATACATAGAGACAATAATCTGAGACACATATTAAAGGAATAGGTTGACAATTTGCTAAATATGTTGTCTGGTGTGTGGTAAAAGTCCAATGTGTAACATTTAGGAGGCTTTATTGGCAGAAATGAAATATAATTTATGTAGTTATATATAACTACTTTTACTATAATCACTTAATTATAGAAATCGTTATGTTTTTGTTACTCAAGAATGAGAGGTTTTTATCTACAGACGCCACGGGTCACCTTCCATGGGGTCCGCCATGTTAACTGCTATACAGTAGCTCACAAGGGAAAGTTAAACTGGCTCTCTCCAGTGTTAATATGCCTACCAGCACCTGTGAAGCTCACTAGCTAACATGATGAATGGCATGGATTTAATCTGTACACGAAAACAAATGTAAAGGTGTGGATTTACTGGGAGTTGCATGCTGTTTACAGTCTTTATGTTATTGCTGACTGCCTCTGGGCTCAAGCTCTGTTCTTATCGCACAGACGAAAGTTTTCATCTAACTCTAGCATGAAAGTGAATAAGTAGCTATATTTCCCCAAATATCTAATTAGGTTACTTCTTGTTTTCCTACTAATCTAGCAAAAGTAAAATTTCTTTGAAAATACAGCCAAAATGTAAATGTTCCCATGAAGAGATCCCATTAAACTCAAGTAAATCTTATTCTTCATATTTGTCTAATTGTACACTTCCTCATATTTTACAAATATACAGAAAGATTTCACATAAAGACTTATAGTTCTGCATGTTCAGCTGCACTGACTGTTATGCTACCAACTAACTGGAATTAATCAGAGGTGTACCAGAAAATGGACATTGAACACTGTGTCCATTTGCCATATTATTAGTACCAAATTACATTACCCTTACCAGAAATCTTCTAAGGAAATTACAGTTACATACAAGTTCCTTCCCATGAAAGTATTATTAAATTATTAGGAAAATGTAGCACTTGTAAAATAAATCTTTATTATCCCTGATGATTGGTTACATACATACAGTAGCAGTCAATTAAGACATATCACAAATATAAAAACAAGCAGAGGACAGGGCTAATGAATATTAATAATATGCATTTGTTTATAAAAGCAGAAGACATTAGTCAGACACCTCCTCTGGCACATAAGAAACACATGCGCTGTCAATTGTTAATGGAGAGTTATGTGCTTGACACTAATCGCTGCTTCGACCCACCCATCTAGAGACGACAGAAAAGGCCATCGATTATCTCTCTGTCCCACAGTAAATCTTTAGCGGAGAGGAATGTTTCAGCAGCAGCATCACAAGCCAAAAACAGATTTATGTAGAAAAATGATGCAGGACAAATGAAGCAGCGTTTCCTTGAAGCACAGATCTAAATGTTGAAACAGCTGTGCTAATTGCAGATCTTGACAACACCCGGATGGGGTAGTTGAGGAGGATAGCTGTGCTCTACTGCACCACAACCTGTTTTTTTTTTTTTTTTTTTTTTTTTTAGATGTTAGGCTAATGTATCCGGCACCATTGCTTCCAGCTGGGGGGAGAGGCGAGTTGTAACTTGTGACAGGGCTAATCTCTGTGGACAGACCAGAGCACGGCCCAATCAGCAGGGGTAGCAGGCAGAAAATGAGAACACCAAACAGAGCAGCTCCCTTAGCTCCTCCTGGTTTCAAGTGGAGCTCCAGTGTGTTAAGCTGTGTGAACAGCCCTTTAAATGGGAATGTCAGCCACACCTGCAGCACAGACATCAGGTGATCATCACTCTTTTGTTGTGCTGAGTGATGCTGTGTGATGGCTCAGGGCATAGAAAGATTTGAATCAAATAATTCAACATGTTGATTCTTTTCGATCTTTAGCCACAGACTGTAGAACAACATGGACATATTGTCAGCACTATTGTATCATTCCTCTAAAGGGATTACGGCAGCTCCTCTTGATTATTTTCATTATCGATTAAACTGCTGATTATTTTCTCAATTCATTCCTAATCATTTTGGCAATAAAAATGTCAGAAATTTGTAAAAAATGTGCCCAAGTAGACATATTTAGATAGCTTGTGTCATTCAGTTTACTATCATATGTGAGAAACTGAAGCATCAAATCCTGACAGTTGAGAAGGTGGAACCAGCAATGTTTTTGATTGAAGATGACTGCATGGTGTATAATTATCAAAGTAATTTCTGGTTATTGTCTTTTGATCAACTAATCATTGTGGCTCTAAAATTGTTATTTTGAATCTTGGATTTGGCTTCACCACTTGCAGCAATCTTTGTCAGTTACTTCGAAGTTGGAGCAAACATCACTACCAATAACTACATCCTTGTGTTTTGTATATTCAGCTAGGATTGATACTGAACTCTTCTAGACAGTGATTTGCACTGCTAAGAAGGTCTGGGGGTCAAAACCCCCCTCCCCCAGCTGGCTTGGGCCTTTCTCTTCCTGGTACTTCATAGGAAGCATCCAAACCTGCATGTCCGGAGGCTCCTGCACAGCACACATGTAGAAAATGATTGTTGGATGGACTGCATAGAAAAATAACCAAGCCTAATGAAGAGGTTGAAAGTGTGTCAGGCTTTGAACCACACAGCATAAATCTTTTTTTTTTTTAAAGAAAATAGGACTGTCAGTAGTCCTGAAGGTTTGCAACAGTAGCTGCTCCCTTCACTGCCACCCTTCTTGTGCGTTGGATACATTAACAGCTCAGAAACTGCATGAGCTGCAATCATGGCTGCCACAGGGACAAGACATCAGACATGCCAACTTGTAAGAGGCATCACCTCCCAAACACAGAATAGACCATAAATCCTTGCCATCTATCACTGTCCAACAGCCTAATCCTCTTTCAAACAAGAGTTAAAAGGAGGCTCACAATATCAAACATTGTCCCTCTCAGGGCAAAGTCGTTTGAGCACCACTGACATAAACCACCGCAAAGCAACACCACAGAGGAAAGCAGGGGGGAAAAAAATTGCTCATCACTCTTCTCCATCACATTCTCCCCGCTGGGTTTCTACAAGGTCATTTTGGCGCACGACGCAGGAGAGGGTACCCAGCTACACTGACACCTCAGAGATTGTCCGGACATTGTACGGATTCAATTGAACAACACTTAAGAAGGAAAACTTTTTTACAATCTGAGAAAAAAGTGTGGTTAAGGCAGAACTGCACATCATGACCGCGTACTGAAGAGACAAGGCGGAGCAGGCGACGGAGAGAGGGCAAGGGCATCGGTGCCAAAACCATCGCCAATTAGACAAAACTGGATCGATAAACTGGAAGCTGGTCGTATGTGCAGTTTAAAGACATTAAAACATAACACTCGTAACCTCCTACCCTTCTCCCACCACCCCCTCCTGCCTCCTCCTCAGAGTCAATCCTCTGCTCTTGGATGGATGATGATCGCTCTTAACGCACAAGAGCCCGCAAGAACAAGAACGAAGGGCAAATCCGAAATCTTAAAATCTTGTCTTAATGCAACATTTCAAACGAATAGCCTACATTTTCTCATCCGAAGGCCGACATATTTCTTGATTTCCCTCCGGGTACGGGTTTAGGGGTCATACCGTTGCACAGCACAGACCTACACAGGTCTATAAACTCGTTTTTTGTGATAAATAAATGTCGAGTTGTATCTTAAACATATGTAAATCTTTATGTTATCGTGCACCTGGATGCACGGTGCGTAACGGCAGCAGCTGAGGAAATTGGGGGAATAAATGCATTAAAAGAAGATTAAGATTCTTTTAAATGCGCATTTAAAGAGGATTATTTCTTTTCTTACCTTTTGATGGTAAGGTCGGCACGTTTTAGGGTGACCGGGATTCGTTTTTTTCTATGCTGGGAGTCACCCCGAGTACCTGGAGCGAAAAGGTCCTGTGTGTCCCTGTGATGTACACTGACGTAGTAGGAGAGAGCTGCACCCTCCTCCCTCCTCCGCCCCCTTTACTTAGGCTACTACACAACATCCCTCTTGGATGGAGACACCGCCCCCTCCTCCTCCTACTCCTCCACTCCCATCCCTCTTCCAGCAGACACCATTCCTCTCAGAGAGAAGAGGGGGGTTCGCTGGTTTGCATGAAACCTGAGACGGTGAAGGTGAATTATTTTGCTCCTGAGTGACTCAATCATTGGTGAGTCTAAATATTACAAAGTCACAGTTTATATGGGATGCACAGAACCAGGTAGGAAATGCGCTCTCCACTCTCATGCTCAGTGGATGTCGGTTAGATTGTCATTTGCTCCATATGCACCAAATGGTTGGTGCAATGAAGTGTGCAAGACGAGCCTCTCCCTGCACGTGCTTGGGCTCGTGCCTGTAATTGGCCATGTTAAAAAGGAAAAAAGATCACAAGGATGCCCCTGGTGGAAAACAACCGAACCCCCATTAAGAATGTGATGCAAATATCACTGCAGTGTTGTAGCAGAAACCATGAAGTAAAATAACATATTTACAGTTGGTCAGCATTAAAGCTCATAAATTAACAGAGAGAATCATTTTAGGACAGTGGTTCCCAACCTTTTTCCTCAAAGGGACCTCTTTTCTATTACTCAGTAACGACGACCCCTGACAAAGTGACATATTTTGGGGATATTTCTTATTATGTTCAATGCATAACTATAAAAGTACAGAACAACTGATAAACTGTTCAATGAACCTAAATAGTGAACGCAATAACTGCAGGAAGTTTGTGTAAAGCGAGCAATACCGATGTATTCTGAGCAGATTATTTCCTGTTAATATTGCATCAGAGATGAGTACTTCATAGACTTCCTTTTTTGACAAATTCAGTGTTTTCTTTTCCATGACACTGAGCCATTGTTCTATTAGCTCTTTGGTTGTTTTATCTGCGTACTTTTATAAAGAGGACAGGGCTGTTTAGCAGAGAGTGCAGGCTCTGTGAATATGTGTTCAGGTTCAGTTAATGATATTTTTCTAGCACAATGTCAACTACTTGCAAGGTGCATGGAGAAGGAAAGCACACAGTTGCCCATTAACACACTGAGCAGACTCAGAGCAACGTTCGCCTTCTTTTGGAGTTTGTTTCTGGCCACCTGATAAATATGAGAAAAATTTTTACTCCTTTTATAGCTCTGTTTGTGTCTACTAAAGGACATATCTGGCTCTTTGGCATGCTGTGTTCACCAGCTATGTAGTTGCCAACTTTATTGGCCATTTGTTGCTGGGCAGGTCGCATTTTATACTGGAAATAGCTGCCTGCTGCTACTGAAAACAAAACTCATGAGAGCAGTAAGATTGAGCCAAAACACTTAAACTGCAGGTGTAAAAGCAAACATGTGATAATTCTCAGTGGTTTTATCACTACAAGTGACAGATTTCACATTACACGTAGTCATTTGATCTATTGTGAATGAAACAATATCAATTAGAGCAGCTTTAAGGTAAGTATGGAATAAAAAAGACATTAAATTTAGCCATGAATGAGTTCAGTATATGGTCATGTGGTTTTAAAAATCTTGAAAAACAAAAACACAGTAAGAGCAAACAAATGAAAGATTTCAGCTTATAAAACAACATAAAAAAACAAAAAAAATAACTGAGGAATCTTCAGTACTTTAAAACCAGGGCCACATATGTGTGAAACACCTCCACTGCGCCTTCAGTATTTCAGTATTTCAGTCAGGTGTTTGCTGATGCTCCAGCTGTCATCTGATTTTCATCAGGAGCCATTAGATCAGATGAAGCCTTTCATCTCGCTTTAGGCTTCCAGCTGCTATTGTCTGTTTGGGCCATCTATTGATCAGCTGGCCTAAAAGACTGTTATCTGCAGGCACCACCATCCTCTGTCCGGCTCAGGCTGATTGTGAAGAGTGATGAAACAGTTTGATTGACAAAGTGACACCTTATTGGTTTTAGGGAATTGGCCCTAAAGTGATTCTTACATTCTCCAAGTGTGTAGTCATTACCCACAGAATAAAAAAAACATGCGTCACACGTAACGTCTTGACCAGGTTCCTTTTCCTCAAAATTTTGCCGAACCAGTATAGCTGTCTACTGGTCTTGAGTCTCCCTTGCTAGTCTAGCTATGGATTCCAAATCCCAAGAAAAAGTCTTGGAGGAAAATAAAGAATTTAATAGTGTGTGATCTGACCAATTTGTTTGTTTTCACCTGTTGCTGGATGCTTGTTCTGTGAGATATTAGCATTATAAGGTATGTTTAGTGGCTCCAGATGTAGGTTCTTCTATCGCCGTATTTCCCACAGTGTAATCGAAGCATTACTCTAAAAGATGTTAACCACAGGATGGGCCAACCTGGTGATCTGACCTCACTGATTTGTGTCTGAGAATATCTGTTCCTTCCCCTTCCTAACCCGGGTACAGACACAAGGGATTCTGCTACACTGCAGAATACCTGACTCAGTCTCCCTGTCACATCCTGCGTCGCTTGCAAGTGAGAAATCTGGTCAGACGTTAACAGACTCCCTTGGTAGCTAACCTTCCAGCTGACAGTAATGTGACAGATTGTAGCTTTTGCTGTATGTAAAGAAGACCTATGGAGAGACACACATCTGTCCTTTATGTGCAAACACAGAAGAGCAGAAACAGCCCTGTGCTTTGATTATGTCCCTGCATCTCATCATGGGCCTCATGGTGTCAGGTAGGAAAAGGAAAAACACCGTTTTTTCAGGATAAACTTTAGACTTAAAGCATTTCTTTTATTTCTTGTGCACAATTTATTTGAACTTTTGCACATGAACATGTTATTTGAAAGTATATAGAGAGTTATACTGTAAGATGTTGTGTTTCTTTTGGTTTTGCTTTTAGTTTTATTGTAATATTGAGTATATTGTCCATCATAATTCATGACTAACTGGAACCCAAATGATAATCAGCTTGGCGGATGTTATCAGCCAATACTAGTTTATCACAAACATATCAGTATTAGCAAATTGAGTGTAAGTAACAAGAAATTGTTGTGCGGTTATTGGAAAAGTCTGCTAATCCCTGTACTATTGTTTCATACACCCAAAACCAATGATTTTAAAATAATAACTTGGAACTACAGTATGGTTTCCATTATGAAAAGATAACTGTTACAGTAAATTAACTGTAGTAAAGGTATCAAAAATCAAACCCACTAATCACCCATCTACCATTCCCAACCTTCCACTTTTCATTACTTTCCATGTCGCTACATAAATTCCACAATATTCCTGCCATGATACTGAATGTAAATTATGAGGTGTGAAATTATCCAATACGGACTACATTTCAAAGGATACAGGGTTGGCTCATATATCTCAGAATTCTTTAGAAACAATTTAATACATTTTGTGAAAATGTGTTTTATATATTTTATGCATTTAGGTAAAAAAAGAGAATATTAGCCAACCAACCTCGATGTCCATGTCGGCCTAAAACATCCAGTCTTATCAAGCCACAGAACTAGCCAACACAATGGGATTTCAAGTTATTTTACCATTATTTGACATCAATGAAACAATCATCATCTGATATTTTACACTACAGGAAAGAGAAAGAGAGAAAAGAAAAAGCTAAGCAACACCTTTCCATCTCGGGCCCTATGGAGGAACCTGTTGGTAATCAAACAGAGCACATTAACACAGCTGCACACGTTTTCCTGCAGCAGCCGGCAGCTGGTCTGGGTGGAGCCCTTACACACCAGATCATAATCTAAACACACCAAAATATACCTCCAAAAAACAAGCTGCAGCTCTACAGTGTGTGTGTGTGTGTGTGTGTGTGTGTGTGTGTGTGTGTGTGTGTGTGTGTGTCTGCAGCTGTTGACTCTAATTGTTTTTTAAATGCTTCTTCTCTTTACCTGCATTAACAAAAAGCAAGGTCACGCCTGGTTGACACACAATTGGATTTCCAGACAGGATCAAATTTCCTGGACACAATAACGCAGTCAGGGCAGATTTAATGGTGTGCCTCTGCCAACTCTTATCTGCAGCTGTAAATGCTGTAATGAAGTGCAGTAGAAAACAGACGCTTTAAATAAAACTGCACAGGTATATGTGTTGAGAAGCTCAATTAAGATTGTCTACTTAACTAACCTCTCAATCTCTCTGTATTAACCAGGATGCAACATGATTTTAATGTCAGTACAATCTCTAAGTGATATTGAACAGTGATATTATTCTTATGGGAGCTTACTGTATGATATACTGTGTTATATAGTGTGTTGGTATAGCTTAGATAGCTTATAGTATTATTAATGTTAGAAATATAGCTATTGTCTCCAGCTACGAAAATGGTTAATGACTTTTTGATTTTTTGGTTTGGTTTTAGGGCAAATGCTTGTCGCCATCTGGTGGTTGCTTCAGGTGATGCTTAAAGTAAAAATGTCATTGTTGAAACATTCAGTCCACCTGAAGAACTCCTACTTCTCAACACTGATTTATAGACTAGCTTTAAAAACTTTTCCATCGCCAGCATGTCACAAAACTGTCCAAGATAACTATCCTTTGAAACGCACTGATGTCCTGCAGCAAAATGTTTTATTAATGCAAGCATACAAACTGATACAATGACATGATTGCACGGTGAAGTAAAAGTGGCAGAAAAAGCGTCAAAATGAAGTCCCCGCTGAACAATAAATGTCTGAATAACAGCGCAGTAGACCCTATAAAATGGAGTTAAAATTAAAGTAAAGGAGCAACCTTATGCAGCATTAAAAGTAGCCTCCTAATAATGAGACACACATATAATGTCATTGTTTTTGTTTTGATATTTAACTTCATAATTCTAGAAAAGTAGCTTTTTTAATGCACATAAGTATTTTAAATCTATAGGAAAAAAAAAAAAAAGATATTTGAATGACCAAAGAATAAGATATTCCTTTTTTAAACATACACACTTCTACTACTACACAGAGTAGGATAAGTATATGTTTAATATACATGTTTTAATGAAAATACAGAATACAAAGAAATATTACACATTATACTGACACATCATGATAAAGAAACTGTGATACACTGTCCATAGCCAATTACAAGCTACATTAAACAGTTTAACTGCACACAGGATCCAAATCCAGAGGTGATGTTGGGATTATTATGATAGCCTATATACACACTAGTTTGGGGCGACATGATCTCTTTATTTCCAAACCTCATCAGTATTTTGAGGCCATTTCAGTCTCCTGCTCCACTTTGAGCTCATTGGTCGTCTCTCTCTCTCTCTCTCTCTCTCTCTCTCTCACCCTCTCTCTCTCTCTCTCTCTCTCTGATTGATGCAAATGAAACACCTCAGCAGCGCCTCCCTGCGTCCGCTCTGCTGTGGAGGAAGAGGAGGAGGGAGGAGAGACAAGACGGGAGAAACCATCGAAAGCGACTCAAACACGCACCGACGAAGGCACGAAATGAAAGTGGCGCTTTGTTTACCTCCTCTCACATGCCTGCGGGTGATGATGATGATGATGATGATGGTACATCCTTTTCATTCGCATATTTAAAAACGTGGCGTGGGAGGGAGGGGGGGTTTGCAGGATTTGTGCGTGTGTGTGTGTGTGCATGCTGTTTAGTCCTGAATTTGAAAGACAACAGAGATTGAGTGGTGTCGCGTTTCCCAAAATATGACGCTCGCCAGAAAGCAGGTCACTGAAATCTGGATGTTACCATGAGAGGAACCGGCATGGACCTGCTGTGGAGGATCCTCGCAGCTCTCAGCTTCGACTGCTTTAAAGATTCATCGTCGTCAAGGTGAGTGGCGATTGATCAGCCTGTATTTAATCAGATATCAGCGCAAATTCATCCGATATTCATTGTATATTCCCGCGGTGCGTCTGTGACAATGACTTTATAATGTTCCCGTGAAGCTGTTTTCAAATCTCCTTTAATTCTACCTGTTTGTTTTTCTGTCATATTTGCTTGTATGATTTAAATTTCGCCACTCTGGATCATCTTTAATTGTGTAATCCTCGCTGCAAAGGCCAGCACTCATTATTATATGTATTTTTTTAAACAAATAAATGTCAGATGAACAGGTAGAATGATGAATCAGGCAGAAATTGATCTGATATTTTTTAAATACTACGGGGAAATATCGTCCTTCACTTCATAGTTGTTATGACAACAGGTTTTTTTCTGAGTCATTATTTGCTCTCGTTCAATGCAGCTTTGCCTCCACTGATGACCAGTTCATGTTACACAATTTAGAAACAGTGAATCTGAAAGTCCACTGGGAAGCCAGCCCAGGAATATTAACATAAACGATTTTCTAGCAAATTAAAATGGCTCAGGAAGGAAGAAGCTGAATGAATTCTCAAAAACTGATTTTCTAATGAGACTTCAGACATCAGTTGCCAGTATTACATGCAGTGTATGTCCACTGCACCTATTAATGAGGAAGGCAGAGCTCCCAACACCCTTCTGTCAGACACAGAGCATACAGTCTCAATCTACAGACTGAAGAGTGTCAGCAAGACGCACCTCAACAGTTTAAATTATTGAGCAATCACTCAACTCCACCCTACCTTGAGATCATTTCACATCTCGTTTTACCAGTTATTTCTTTTTCCCTGGAACAAATCTGTACACCAACACTAAATCTGTTGTTAGTGTGCACCGGAAAAGCCTGATCCCAGCGTGTTCCCATTTGTCTTCCCATTTGTCTCAAGTGCAACTGAATCGTGTTTCTTAGCAAAGGTTGGTTTAGAGCTTCAGAGGAATTATTGGCTTCATTTTTCAGACTAAGTTGTAAAACATGATTTTGTTCCAGCCTCTCTGATGCAAGCATTTGCTGAATATAGAATATATTTGGGTTTTTGACATCAGCTTGGGCCTTAATGAATGTTCTGGCCCTTTACAGACCAAACAATATTAATCAGTAATGCAAATAATCATAAGTTGCAGCCCTAGTTTTGCTTATTTGCTATAGATTTTGAATCTGTTTTAAAGAAGAGCAGCATGAAATAAAATTATACTATAAAATAGTGCTGAAATTATACATTTTAAATCACTTCAATGTGTCCAGTAAACATGCCAAACATTAGGTTGTTCCAGCTTCTCGAGGGGGAGTGACTTGCTTATTTTTTCCTGTTTTATTTATTTATAACTTGAATATATTTTGGTTTTGGACAGTTTACACATTGACCTCTTGCTCTGGGACATTATGATGGCTTTTTTAATAGTTTGTGACATATATAGTTTGGGCTAAACAGTGAATTAATAAAATAATATAATTTTTTGGTGTACTATAAAACAGACCACAAAAGTCATAAAAAATAAAGTTCAGGGGTGCTCCCGGGTTGTCACTTGGAAACAAGAAGAAACAGGAAGCCTGGCACCTCGAAACTGCACTAATAGTTTTTAGGCCAGCTGATTCCCTCTGCTGCTTTCAGTCTTTATGCTTTAGCTCCATATTTAATGGACAGATACGAGAGAGGTATTGATCCAAGAGATCTTGGCAAGAGAGCAAATAAGCCCGTTTCCTTAAAAGTAAAACTGTTTCTTTAAAGAACTGTGACCAGTATGTACTGAGCAAAACATTTTAAAATTGAAAAATAAACTTGTCCTTGCTCTTCAGAGAAGAGAAGTTGTGTAACGCAGACGCTGTTTCTAAAATACATCCAACAGACCTGACATTTCTGACATTCACTGATTTATTTGCCAGTTTATCCCCTCTAATTACCACCAGTCCATGATGTAAATGCTGCTCTATTAAATTAAACTTATTGAGAGTTAACAGTACAGAGAGTTAGTGTTGAAAGTATTCATTCATTTAGTGTAAATGCCCATCACAAACACTCAGTCATACGATCTTTGAATTGCTTTTGATGATCCAACAGCTTAAAACACAAAGATATTTAGTTTATAATGATATAAAAACAGAGAAAATCAGAAAATTCTCACATTTAAGAAGCTGGAATCGGCCAGTGTTTGATTGGTTATAAAAATAGGTTGGGTTTTTTTTTGTTTCAACCAATCATTTCAGCTCTACAGGGTGTGGATCTCTTAACTGACTTTTGTTCCCTTCCTTCTTAGGTCTCCAACCAAGCAGGGCTCCAGCCAGGCCGGCAGCTTGGAGAGCAGCTCCCTGACCGGCTCCCTGTCGCTGGGCCCCGACATGCCCCACTGCCAGTGCTGCATCACCTACGAGGCCCGCCTGAAGCGCCTCTCCTGTGGACACCTCTACTGCGACCCCTGCTGCGACCAGATCGTCAACCTGGCCTTCGAAGATATCGAGGGCCTGTCCGACTACCCCTGCCCCATGTGCAAGTCCATCCGCCAGCTCGGAGGCCTCGGCCCGTCCTCCTCCGGGTACTTCTACGAGCCCTGCGGCATCCTGCAGCAGCAGCAGTTCACGGGGAAGGAGCACGGCAGTCGGTCAGGGTAAAGTTGAAGCTCTTTGATGGGAGGGAGGTCGACTCTCTTCTGATGTTGGACTCAAACCTTTTCTTCAGCTATGAACCGGTTGATTTTTAACTGCCTCTGCCATAGTGGTGAAATGGACAACAACTAATGGCCATCTTACTTTACTCTCTCTTGCTCTGTTGTCTGTGGTTATCAGGTGAAATGTGAGAATGCATGACACTAACATCCATAGGTTTAAAGTGCCAACATGCATCTCAGTAGATGGTTGAAAACTTGCACGTCATCGTAAGAAATATGGAAGAACAGTCTCTTTGTTGTTGGTACAACATAATGATCCAGAAAAATATCTCATTCATATTTTTAATAGCGTGGTTTTCTGCCTACGTCTGTATAAAAACAGTTTCATTCTTTTGAACGTAATGTCTGAAACTGGAGAGACCAAACCAGAGCTTTACATGAGTTAACTGTGCAGTAGATATTTTGTATATTTAACATTTCCTGTCAGACGAGTTCTTACTTTGTACATTTCCTGTGAAGGTATTGAGCATTTTGCACATGATTCTTAAATTGTTTTATTCTGACTGTACATATCATGCAAGATGGTTGGATTTTACATATAAAATCTATTGTACAGTGCCATGCTACTTTTTAAGTGTTCCAGATCATATGTAAATATTTATTTTGTTAAAAAATAAAGTTTGTGAGCTGTGTATGAAAATACATTTGCTTCTTTTTTTGTGTGGCAATATTATAAACACAGCTGGGAGTCTATGGACTGATAACACTTTATTTATCAGGATCAAAACATGCTGATACAAAAAATATGTACATCTGGCAAAAATTAAGCAATATTCGTACCAAAAAAACCTTACATTACACAATGATACAGACCAACAGGTGCAGCAGAAGATCAAATTAGATTTTCCATGCAACAGGACAAAGACGAGCTTGTGTTTTTTCCATGGAAGAGAAGTAAATGCATTGGCATCACATCTGGAAAGCTCTGAAATTGTAGCTGATATCAATGTGCCTTGATATTGATGCAATGAATATTTACAACAATTTAATAATTCATAGCGCTATCAAGTGAGGTACCTTTTGACATGAGAGAAGGTCAGCATCCATCATACATCTGACAACTGTTATCCTGCTTAAAGAAATTCAGAAAAACATGCTTTTTCAAATACATAATGGAAAATTTTCATTCGTCCGTGGGAATGACGGCAGTGCATCTACTTAACACCCACATCATGCGAACGACAACCTGTTTGGATTTAAAGGCGCAGGACCAGATACTTCCCTTTGTGCTTTAAATACAGTCAGACACTTCCAAGTCCTTGACCTAAATGCTGGCTGCATACTAATACATCACCAGGCAGGGGAAAAAAAGACATAAAATGAAAAGTAAACACAGGAAGAAATAAGCTTCCCTTTCGCTTCCAAGGTACGGCAATAAAAAGGCAGATTAATGTTTGTGTTTTTCAATTACACCACAAATTGATGGAGAAATTCTCGAAATAATACTCAATTTGGTCAGAAACAATTCAGAAATCACACTAATCTACATGTATGACATCAAATTGACCGATAATAGTCATAAATACTTGAAAGAGAGATGCAATTATATTACAAAAGCCCTGAAATTGTCGGTCAGTCATGCAGGAGCTGAATTATGCTGCTTAGACTTTATCCACATCCACATCACACTCTGAACTGAATATAGGCCTCTCACTGCTCCCAAGCATGCTTGTGAGTGAGTGGAGAGATATGAGAGCAGTACCAAAATAGCTCTCATGCCCTAAATTCCACATAAAGTCACTGGTCACAGCGCCTGGAGTTCAAAAATCATGGTTTTTAAAAAGGATCGTTTTCAAAACAATATTCTACTTTTTCTAATTGAAACTGAGATACAAAAACTAGGAAATTAATCTTTTATTGCACATTAGCATGACATAATAAAGATTAGGGCTAATCGTAAAAAAGGTCTTCTGGAGACTTGTAGTCTGACAGTCACACGGGTCGCTGGTTAGATCCAGTGGAAAGTGTGTGTCCATAAGTGCCCTTAAGAACCACCTTATCACACCACCATGTATGTCCTGCCCTGTCACTGTAACCCATTTTGGATGAGAGGCTAAAATGGAAACTACAAGCTTTCTTTCTTTCTTGAAAGGTGACATGATCTTTATAAAATGTGTCTACTGCATTTCAAGATACTGCAAGATGTCCTTCTGAAGTCCTGTTGGCATACATCATTAAGCATCTTCAGCCCTTATTCTTTTTCTCTTAGACATATTCATCAGTGGAATACTGAACACTAAGATTTTCTTTACAAATATACAAAAACAGTTGTCACATTATTTAATACAGTACAGACGATAAATAGCAGAGTCAAGAGCTCTTGCAGTAATTATTTCATACTATTGCAATTTACTGTGTCCTCCCAAATGTTTTTTTTTTTTTTAATCACCTTATAGTCAATCAAAAATGGTGTGACAGGCAACACACATCTGCATCTCCTCAGTACATGACACCAGTGAGGAGATACGTCAGTTTCATATTCCGCAGCAGGGGATTTGGTTGTAGTACCCGGTCACGGGGTGGCATGGTCTGTCTCACATATGAGAACAGTTAAGATGAAGACCAGACCTCAGGAGGCTATCGAGGGCCCGTTGCTCTTAGGCAGCTTGCCGTTATTGGGTGCCGGGTAATAGCGCTGGTCAGGGCGGGCCTCTGTGACTGAAGAGTGCCCAAACAGGAAGGTGTGCTTGTTGCTGCCGCCATTGTCTTTGTGACTGGGCCTGGATGGTGGGGCTGAGGCGGGCGGAGGGCCCCTGGAGGTCTGGTGGTTGGTGAAGGTAGGAGGGGGTGCCACTCTGGACATCGCCGTGCTCTGAGGCCTCGGCGCTGGGAAGAGGAAGGTGCCGTTGTTGGTGTTTTGGTTCAGGTTGGTGTCGGTCCGCCGAGGCTCGGCCATTTTGGTGGGTGGGTTTGGATCCGTTCCGGTGGACACTTGTGCTAGCTTGTCTTTGAGCTGCTGCACCTCCCGGGCCAGCCGCTCCACAGGGTGGGGGTGGTTGGCTGAGATGGGGTGGGAGAACGCCTGAAGAGGCAAAGCAACATGGTCAATTTCTCTGACAGTAGGTGGTCAGTAAATTTTTCAACCTTATCTCACCAGAGGGGTCTTAAGAATGATCACTCAAATCATCATTAAAGAATATCCCATGAAAAGACCAACAACAATGAATTGATCTTATTAACAATTATTGTCTCTGTATCCAAATCCTGATATATCTTATTCCTCCTTGCCATGAACCTCTACTGTTCTCCCAAAACTATTAAAACACTAGTGTTTAAAAGAGTTTTGCAGCCCACTGCACTAAATAATCTCTGGTGTGTTAATCCACGGCTAAAAATAGTCCCCCAAAAATGCACTATTTACTCTTGGGTGTTTACATTATTAGAGAGGTGTCTAGTAATTTGTGATGCTGTAGTTAGTGGTTTTGTTGTACTGGAGTTCATGAGAGTTGTTGATACAACTGTGAAAAAGCAACAAAACTCTTAACAACAACGACATTCAACAAGAGTTAGATTGGTTCTCGACTGCTGTCTGTTTTAGAACTGAGCTGTGCAGAAGTGATTTCTGAATGAACAGATAGCCTCTAAGAACAAAGGAAGAACAGGGATTCTGTTGGCCTGGAGGGGCAGTTTAATGGTGTGTGAAACTGTAGGGGAAACACTTCAATTACACAAAAGCACAGAATTTACCCTAAACTCTAGTCAGTGTTAACCTGAGTTAGTGCTGTAGCGGTTTGATAGGTTTTACTTGTTCCTCTACAGCTCCCTTAAAATAGATGGCTGCACCCACCCACACAGCCCTCGACTATTCTTAACATCACCATGGGGACACTGATAGACGAGGCTGTTGCACAGACATCACAAAGGCTGTACCACGTCCATATTGGGAGTTGTCGATCAACAGATCCGACTAATCTGTACATGAAAGAGACTACGTCACGATGTGAGCGGATGCAGCACGGAAGACATGACGAGGCTGAACACAGCAGATATGAGGAGCCTTCTGGAAGTATCGTGGGCCAAATTTATTAAAACTGGATGTCGCCCACTTGGTAAACCCAATGACGCATTCATTCACTTAGACATTCGACCCCACGATATTTAAATTAGACAGCCAATGATTAGTGCTGCCTGTCTTATGGTTGGGTATACTGATGCATATTTTTTTTTATATATACACATATTGGCCTTTGAATCTACGTGTGGTTCACCACTTCAACTTCCACTTCCTGATTTTGTTGTAGCACCAAATAATCAGCCCAAATCCATATATTTCCTCCCACATCACTGCCTTTTTTTTTAAAAAGTTAGTTGCATCTGTGTGAGTTTCAAAAAATCTGTATTGAACAGAGAGGAAATTTGTGAATGACCATAACAAAACCCGTCTAAAACTTTAAAATGCAGCTGTGGAGTTGTTTTATATGGAATATGTCACCCAGTTTAATGGTACGGCCCTGTGAATTGTGTATTTTTAATAGGTGCTGGTAACAGTGGAGCTCTGTGGCACAGAGGCACTGGCTTTTTGACAAATGATTAAAAGATGAAATAACACAAGCCTCTGCTTTTAAGGCAGGAGTCTCAAACCTTTCTGGCTCGAGACTCCTGAAAACAAAGAAATGTCTGGTTGATCACAGATAACAATCACAGCCTTTAATGTGGATAGTTCAACCAAAGGGTTTTTCTGTCTCACACTGTTTAATTCAAAGGACTTTTAAAAGGTGAAAAAATAGGGGAATGTCAGGAAAAACTGCTCAGATTTATCTTTGGAACCGTTATGGGGGTTTTAACTTATTTAAGCAAAAGAAGGAGTCCTTGAGGACCACTAACAAAAAAGTTAGCAAAAGTGACCCTGATTGACAGCACAATTCTAACAGAGGAGATTTTCTTTGATTATTTTGTCCTGCATTTTTGTGCAGAGTCTAAAGAAGTGATTCACTATCAGTATTCATTCATTAGATTGTTGCATACATATTCACCAGAATGCAGGAAATCAAGTGTCTGAAACTCAAAATCTTATGGGGGAGGACCCTTCAGACACCTTTTTCCACATTGGAGGTGGCAACACATTACAAGTATTCCAAACAAATGTACCTGTGCATGGAGCGCCCCCCGGAGGTAGCACTCCCTCCACAGCCCCATGCAGGGCCCCATGAGGAGAGGCAGTAAGGGCTCATAGGGGTCAAGTGGTCCTTGAGGTCCAGAGCTGGAAGTCAGGCTTTGGGGAAACTCAGTCAGGGCCCAAGCTTTCAGTAGCCTCTCCAGGCCAGGCACGTTCTCGGAGGACGCTGCCCGCCGGTGGCTCTTCTTGTAAACGCCTGAACTGCTGCTGCGCCAGGGAAGCAGGTTAGCAGGACAGGAGAAGGTGCCTCGAGACAGGAGGAAGACTGATCCGGGGATGGTGTCAGTCAGCTGGTGGGAGGAGAAGATACTGTCAGTCAAAATTTTAAGTCATTGACACCTGCAAAAATAAATTGAGTTTGATATTTTTAGTAACAAGATAATGTCTTGTACTACAGGTGTAACCATGTGCCATGGAGTTTAAAGAGTATGTACTGTCCATCAATAACTGGACAACTTCCCCAGTTCTCTTATTTGCACTGCTCTAACCAGAGCAGAGCAACAAATCAGACAGTTTGAACAGCATTATGATCAGCTGTTCCTAAATTTGAATTGGATGCATGTTTTATGACTCCCACTAGAGGGTGCAGTGGCCTGCTGCAAATACTCAGGGCACTGATAGATGTCAGCTCAGTAAGAAGATTATACAATTCCCCACAAAATCTCTAATAATCCCTCAAATTCTCTGATACTTTTAACTAAGTGCAATCCGACCTAATACTGACTTTAGTTTTCAGTAAAGATTGTTCGTGGAAAACAATGTGTTGAGAGTCTTGCAATACAACAGAACCAAACATCCAAACTGACATCTGTCTCTGCACAAAACTGATAAGATCTATCACAACAGAAATTATCCATTTTAAGTAAAAAGCTGCAAAGACAACATGAGACGCTCTCATGGTGTCTACCACTGTTAAACCTAGAGCTCCCACCATGGCCACTAGGGGGTGTGTTGCACCATAAAAGAGTTTGTAGCCCTACCCTGTGTGCGTCTGGGTTGGTGTTGAGGTTGCCATTGAGCAGCGGTTGGAGTGGAGGGATTGGGGGGACAGGCTGGGTGAAACGATCCCGTCTGTGTTTGCTGTACTGCAGGGCCCAGTCCCACACCGGTGGCAGAGGAGGGTCAGATGGATCGGAGGAAGAATCCGGATGAAGCATATCTCTCCAGCCATTGACTGGTGTGTAGGACTGCCCGAGGTTCTGGGTAGAGAAGGATATACATTTCCAAGGCTTATTTTGTTATCAGTTACTCCACAAATCTCTCCACGGTATATGTCCGCTGAAAATGATAATGTAATGACTTTAAAATGGAATAAAATGCCACTGTCCAATACTCTACTATACAGATGACATACTCGAGAGGGGTGATTATTATTCTAATCAATACATTTCTCAGCCTTTTGGGCCAATTCAGTCATGTAACCATGCAGAAGATGCCAAAGCCCCTCTCAGGTGTCCGGTACCTGGGAGCGTTTGCATCTCTCTCGCTGGCAGTTGGCCAGGAAGCTGGAGAAGAGTGGCAGGTGGATGCTGTCGTGCAAGGCCAACAGGAAGTCATCTGTCAGCTGGAAGCGAGAGGGATACTGGGACAACAGCTGCCAAACACAGTCCAGGAAGAGCAGGAAGACTGGAGCCTGTGGGGACAGAGAGGAGGGAAGGGAAGTTAGTAAGTAAACAATATTTCTACAGTGTCTGTAGCCTTCATTGTTCAGCCTACACGCAAGACAGGGCTATACTTCATCTTTCTTACTGTATAACTCTGTAGCTTCATAGTTAAACTTCAATGCTGTGCAGCTTTGGTGCAAATCTTAACCTCTCACCTCCTCCTTGTCATTGTCACGGTGGTAGTTGATGCGGCTGCAGAAGCGGTGGCCAGCCATCACCCACTCCTTCTGCACCAGGCTCTGGAAACCGTGCTGGGTCCGACAGTGGGGGTCACACATCACCTGCACCAGGCTAGACACCATGCAGCTCAAGTCCCGGTCGTCCGCTTCTGGAATGTCAAAACAAAGGGGAACAAATGCTAAAAGGTCATCAAACTATTCTGCTATTACCTGACACTTATTTTATACCGACCTGCTGGAGGTGTGGCGATGCCTGTTGTTTACAGTGCTCGACTATTTACCATCAACTTCAGGCTTATGTAGATGTTACACTTAAATGATTGATAGTATGCGGCCAAAATGCATACCTACTGACATAATTACATGCAGTACACTGTTGCTATCACATTATTACGAATGCATTTAAATGTTTTGTAGTAATCATGTTAGCATTTGTAGGGAGTATTGTATTCCTCCTGCATTGCTAAAAACACTGAATCACTGTGTCTTTATGAGTGCATGACATCTCTTGTAAAAAGTGATGAGTAACTCAATATCATTAAGAGACATGTACTTCAATTGTGTATTGGGCTCAAATGGTTTTCAATTTCAGAGCAGCACCAGAGACACACAAGCTTTAATTTACAACCACCATTTAATTCTGCTCTTATTGGTCTTAAGGGCTTATACTGTTTGACAAGAGAAAGAGGGAGAGAGAGAGAGAGTAAGAGACAAAGAAAATATGGATACAACAGACCTGCAGATAAAAGTGATAAAGACAAAAGACAAAGAGCCAGTGGCAGACACAACAAGAGATGAGGGACAGGCACACAGAGGAACAAAGCTGTATTGGGCTAGTGTAGTGAGTCATTTCTGCAGTGGAATACTTACTGCTGACCCAGTCAGAAACAGATCTGCCGCAGCTAGGAGACTAAGAGCACGACTGATAAATGTATCTCTCAGCTAAACAGTCGTAAAGGCCTGATGTTAGTCGCTCACAGCTGCAGAGTAGCAGAGAAAGTCAAACACCAGCAGCATGTAGTAAACATCCTTAGCCCAAAACAGTCATTGTTTGAGTAATACAGTCTTGGGTCTGTCTCTCTGGGTGTTTATGAATGCACCACAGGCAGTCAGGCCAGATAATTAAAAATCTGAAACAGACTACTGTCTGTAAAATGAGTCACAACATGGAATCTAAGGACTGCAAAATGTATTTTTAAATAAACCTTTTTTCCCCCCACTGCCAGTCACATCTAGAAGTGCAACTTGGGTGGCAAACAGAATTCAATGTTTCAGTTTCTTGGCTTAAGCAATGCCATTAGTCAGAACAACAATAACACAACTGATCAGTTGGCAATAACTGAGGTGAAAGCTGAAGACATTCCCCAGCCAGATACTCCGAGGTCACCCTCGCTGAACGTTTGGGTTTACCTGTTGTGTCCAGTAGCATTCCCCGACACCTGATCCAACTCACTGCCAAGTGGTGATCAGTTGACACCTCTACTTCACAACAAACAATAGTCAGCATCTTTCTTTCCACGGTAGAGGTGACCCTTCTCTTCTTAGGAGAAAAATCCAACACAGCCACAGGGGCCTGTGAGTATCCTCACACCCGCTCAGTGCCTCTCATCCCAGGCAACTCCAGAAAGGGAAAATCCAGCCCCTATCCAGAAGTTTGGTCCAAGAGATGAGCCAAGCTATATCTACTGCTGGTCTCTCTACCTTTCCAATAACTATGTCTCCTTCCCCACTTGAAAGGTGACCTTTCACATCCCAGGGAGTCAGTTCATTGAGGATACTGCCTACCTGATGCTGGAATAGCAATGCATCACACCTAGTCTTGTGGGCGATGGGCACTAACAGACCTGGTGTACTACTAAACATTCAAACCAATACTGAATTTAAAATAAACTCTTCCAGTTAACACCAAACTACCAGACACAGGATTACAAGTCTTATGAGGAATATGTGTGTTAGTGTAAGTAGGCTTAGCATTAAAGGCACAAGTGCTGTTTGCTTCGTGTTAAAGGTTTAAATTAGGCATTTACCTTATGTATGAAGGTCTTGAGATTAATTTATATCTTCAGTAATATGTTTTAATTTCATGGCATCTCATATGGAGTCTATCTCACCTCTCAGATGCAACAGTTCCAGCCATGTCTTTAAAAGCATGTTGTATGGAGGCCTATTGACAGTGTGCATGTAGGCTCAGTGGAGTGTGCTTGTTGCTGGTATATCGCTACTTCAGGGCAAGCCCTAATGTGGGATTAATGATAGGGAGGCGCCATGAATAATGAATGGATTGAATAATATGAGCCGGGGCCTGGACCACGTGACTCACCTTGCAGTGCCACAGTCAGGTGACCGCCGCGAAGCAGGCAGGCTACCTCCGAAGCTTTCTTCAGACAGGACCTGGAGACAGAGAGGCAGGTTGATGATATCAAATCAAATTAGTCTCATTACACAAACACAGTGATCACATTACAAATATGTCTAAAAAGTTAAATAGAAACATAATAAACTATTTTATCATACTGATGTTGTAAGTTTGCTTTCTCAGTGGCTGTGCTATAACCATAACTATAACCGTCATAGGTGTCATGTTTCCTTCTTTCCTCTCTAAATATGGATTATTTTTCCTCTATGAAATCATGTCACTTGATTTTGAACTTTCTACATAAACTTGAAAAATGCATACCATTAAGTAAAACTAATTCCACTTCTAGACAGGAAATCAGTAATAAACAGCTAATAATCTGTATAGGGCAATAAACATAGGAGCAACTATTTGAGGTTTCCCCATCAAGAATAATGCATTTAACAAACATACAGTACATTGAGCCCAAGTGACCATAAGGCTGAAAGCTTTGATGCTGTATTTCAATAGAAACCTAGTATTTTAATTAGCATACCTTTCAGTTCTACAAAATCTTGAGTTCGTGGAATTAAAATGCCCCTATAATCCCTCGAACAGTTAGACAGCACACATTTATTTAAAAAAAGCCATGAGTAGGAAGAATCTGATAACTTTGTAATGGATGATATGGATTCCCAGACTGGCAAATCTGAGCTGTTACCTGGTGTAGTCTAGCCAGTGGGTGCTTTCCAGGGTAGATAACCATTTGTCATCAGGCACTGACACAGATGTGGAGATATCTAGAAGCCAAAACACAGATCATGTTCAGACATTATGCATCACTACGAGCACATCAGCTGACCTGAAGGATATAACTGGTACACAACATCAGACACAACACTAAGATGAGTTATTGACTGATCTCGGACACACAATTATAAATCAAGCTATTAATAAGGTGCAGCAACTAACACCAACATATGTAGAAAAACTACTGTGATGAAAACTTCTCTTCTTTTCGGTCCATTATTTGCTGCACATTGTTAAAGGCTTTAATTATAGGCATGTGCAGGCCACAAAGAGTTCCTAAAAAAAGCTGATGCTCATTTTGAAAATGTCTCAATTCCTCTTTTGCATGTTCTTTTGTAGTGTCAACCAAACAATGTTACTGTTACTGACAGAGCAGCACACGTTATTTACAACAACATTAGACTGGATAACCATTTCACACACAAGTTACCTCCTCAAAATAAATCATCCAAATCTTAAATGGGACTCCAAGTGCAAAATCCACTTAATCTCAGGGGGATTAGCCTTTAATACAATCCCTAAAGTCTATTTGCATTTTCTATGTAGTTGTTGTGAAGACTCAGAGCCCACTGCCGGTAAATCAAACAGATACATTTGAGTGGCTGTTTTTACAGGACAATCCTATGAGCTGTGAAGCACTCACCCACAAAAGACAAATCACTGAGCTGACAAATGTGTGAACCGTGATAATCGGTGACCTTTACACATTGTTCATGAGCAAGAGAGAGAGGCGGTGAGAGTGTGTTTGAGTGTGAGATAGGTCAGCATTTCAGTTCTAGGGCAACTGGTTGTAGACGACCCTGAGTTTTTTCCTCTCTCTGTTTACCCAACCATGGAATGTGCTGTGTGTGCCTACATGACAAAAACAACAGTATAGACCATCTCTCAAAGCCTGTTTTGAGCTACTACTGCATGAGTTTCAGACCCCAAAGTTCTGAGTGATGTAATTGTACTTTCTTAAATGTACATTAAATGCGATAAAGAAAGCGGAAACAAGAGCTTAACAACATTAAATAAATAAGCACATTTTGTGAAAGACCCTTCAGACTTAACATGATAGAAGTTTATAACCAGTGATTATGAATGATGTGCGTGCTTCATTTGTCACAACTCTTCACAGTATATGCTTTAGCCCTTTCGTGCTGTGTGTAAATACATATTTGCTCAGGTGTTGCGTGTGCATGACGTGTGTATTCATGTCTTATCCCCACCTCCCAGACAGAGGGCACGCAGGCGGCTGTGTGCCAGCTGGATATCGGCAGGCGAGGGCAGCTCCTCGCCAAGCTCCACCACCACACACAGAGAGGACTGGCAACCAAACAGGATCATCTCCAGGTTTCTACAGAACAGCACAGATCTGCTGTTAATACACTGCTACAAATGCAACAACTTTCCTTGCATATTTTCAGCAGCTTTTGAGTCATATCTTCATGAACAGTGGATTTAATCTGCAAAGACTTGAAAGTGTGAAATCAAATGTCTTTAAAAATCTATCCAGCTCTATCAAGTTCTATCTGCTTTTAAACTGCGGCTTTAAACTCCTTAACAACGTGCAATATTTATGCTGTGAGCAGCTGTTGTTTTAGTGAAAATTTTGGTTTGGTTTCCTGTTCACACATCACACACCACTGCATCTTTTTATAGGGTGATTAAAATAAACTGCAGAGAGCAGTGTATGTCTTTCTCTCTCTCCCTCTCTCTCTCTTGCACGGTATCAGAGAAATCAACTTTCTCTAACAGCTTGTGAGGCAAACAAGCTACAATTTAACATAATCTGCAACATACATGCACACTGGTAGCTTGAATTAAAGCCAGAAACTAATCTAATAAACTGCATGGAGACAACAAGATGGTCTTTTTTGTTGCAGTTCTTCAATTCGATTTAGACCAATCTAATGCTTATATTTCCACATTTCCTGTGGCAGCTTTAAGGCATAACATCAAACCCATTATTAGCTTGTGGAAAGTACAGACTGTTGATAAGACTACAGCTAACAGTACAGTACACACAAACACACCTGATGTCGTCTTTCTCATGGTAGATGTTGTTCTGGAAGCTCGCCATTCGAAGTAGATCACTGCCTCGGGGGTGTCGCCAGCACCAGCGCTGCAACACAAAACACAATTCCACCCTCTTTAATAACACACTTCACATTGTTCCCACAAGGCACTCACTGCATCTGAGTTCATCTTGTAATTAGTGCCACAGGAATGTTAATAAGAATGGAGAACATGTCTAAAAGATGACTGCAGTTGAAATATCATTCAGTTATAATACATAATATACAATTGGTAAGAACAAGTGCTCATTTGAAGAACTCCTACTAAGTTAGTTTTGAAAATTAGCATATCTTTTTTAAAGGACCAGAGTGTAGGATTTAGTGGGCTCTAGCTGTGAAGTTGCAGATTGCAACCATTTGAATACAGCTCAGCCTTCCAAGCAGAAGAAACTATGATGACCGGGAAAACTCACACAAAACACAAAAGGCCCGAGCTAGAGCCAGTGTTTGGTTTGTCTGTTCTGGGCTGCTATAGAAACATAGTGGTTCAACATAGCAGCCTCTGTGGAAAAGGACCCAATCCCTGCGTAGATAAAAACAGCTCATTCTAAAACTAAAACACAACTATTCTTATTATCAGGTGATATACAGTAATGAAAACCTCTAATCTATTATTACTATACATATATATACATATATATATATATTCCATTTCTGCCAATAGAATGTTACACACTGGACCTTTAAAGCATTAAGCAAAGATATTTTGAACCTTTAGAATTTTTGTTGGAGCTTTTTTAAACAAATGTGGTTTATTATACTGCAGCACAGCTGGTTCGGAACTGGAAAAGTTTTTGATCTCCAGAATATTCTGAGTACTCCCTCAAGCACCTTTAATACCTTTAAAGTTTTGTGAGCAGCCCAACCTTTATAGCAAATGACATTACAAGTTTGTCTCTTAGTTCTTGTATTTTTTAGCTACAAATACAGGAGTTACAAATACTGTCTAAAGTCCATTAAATAATAACTATAAAATTTACAGAAATTGTATGCTAATGTAGAACATTTGATTTAAAATGCCTTGAAAAATATAAAATATTTGATAGGACTGAGGCTGTAAGAGTTTCCCCTTATTCAGAATTCATGACCCAATCTTAAAATGAGTGGTGGTAGATTCATGTTTCTCAATACTGAGTGCACTCACAGGGATGCGTCCTTCATTGAAGTGAGCAAAGCTTTTCTTCAGCTCAGTGTCTAAAACCTTTTGTGGAACCACGATGAACCTAGGCAGGCTGACAGGAAACAGAAAGAATGTTTTATTGACAGTACACAATATAAATGGTAGAGTGATCACAGCCATGGAAGATGAGGATGAGATTTTCTAAATTCAAAATGGCAACAACTTTTATTTTATTGAGTGTCTCGTTTTGTGTCTTTTATTGAAGTTTAGCCTTGGCTTTGCCTGACATTCTCAAATTCTGTCATGTTTAGCAGTGTCTCTCAAGCGTTCTCTTGTCAAGGACATGCAAGCAGATGTATTCACACATTCCTAAAAGAAATGTGCTTCACAGGTAGGTTTTTTTTCTACACTATTAGTTAGCAGATAACATTGAGGAGAGGGTATTTGGGAAAACTGACATACCAAAGTACACCACATTTAAAAAATCCAACAGTCACAAAGATGTGTTGGTTACTATTCACCACCGGCGTGAATTTACCTTGTGGACATCTCAAAGCGGTCGTTGACCGAGCTGACTCTCCAGCCCATGGCCCCGCACCTCTCCAGCTCTTGCTCCCAGTCTAAGGCGGACTCATACCAGTTCATGTGGGTGTTTCGGCGACGGTTGCTTAGAAACTGCTTCATTTCTGGAGGAGGGAAAGTGATTCAAACACTTCATATCTGAAATATCTTGTGTCAGAGTGCAAATATTGTGTTAATGCTAAAGACACTTTGAGAGATGAGACCAGATGCAGTATGTGATGACATTGACTTTTTATTATACATTATATAAACAGTACTTAACCACTTTGGGAAAACAGGCTTTCAAGTCTTTTCTCAGTGGTGGAAAATCAGCAAAATATAACAGCAAGTCCAGGTGTGGTATAAAGGTAGAGGACTACTCAGTAAGTCACTAATAGTGCATTAGTCTCGTGTATCGTGGTAGGGTTGAGAAAATTTAGCTTGAATCATTTTTGCTTAGAAATGCAGATATTTTCTGTTGCATGCTTCTCCAATTTGAGGATGTGCAATTTTCTCTGTTTCATATTGTATCCAGAGTCGGCTGGACAAAACAAGAAATTTAAAGATGGACTTTGGAAGCTTGTGATAGGCATTGTTCCCTACAACATTTTATAGACCAAGCGACTGATCAGTTAATTGAGGACATAATCGGCAGGCCTGATGATGGGGAAGATGTATTGAAATAGTACTAAAATAGAATGAAAAACAACCGACACCGGCTGTTCACTGGAATGTTAAGCAGATACAGCTGACTGTGAGATGCCCTTTAACAAATCCAGTCTTAGCTCTTGCTTCATTTTTCACCAAACTAAATTAAGGGAAGATCCAAATCATAAAATCATACTTTATGTTCATAAATGACTGTGAAAGTGCTTGCTTGTCTCAATATGTGATTGAAGCTTTTGGAAAGTCACAATGTTAAAGTGATTTCGTCATACATTCAGGAGACAGAAAGCACAGCATTGACCACACACCGGACACACTTGACCCCTGGGGTAGAGTTGAGCTGTAGGTCATCTAGAGACTTGTTTCAGAGGGGGGCTTGCATTATTTATCCAACGGCTGACAGTCATTCACAGCCTGGTCAGCCTAGCGTAGCTTTAACATAGCATAACGTATTGTACAGACAGGCTCATATTACTCTATATGGTCGAGGTAAGCAGCCAGAGGCTTGGCTACAACTGGGCATAATGATGAAGGGTTTCTGTTTTGTTAGTGAAAGTTTGTCCTATTTGCTGAAAGTGTGTTGGATTTATTCTCTGATTGCACAATATAATATTTATTCATGGTGGCTTAATCTTTCACAAAGTAAGCTTTTCAATCACTGACAAAATCAGTCCTTGAAAGTTTTAGTGAGCCTCACCTTGAAACCATTCACGAGATATCCTCACAGCTGGCCATGGTTTCAAAGACAGCATTTTCATTGCGTAACAATACAAGAGAATGTTTCAAATGTTGCCAAACAGAGAGGATGTAAGCCTTACATATCATTATGGTCTGCACAGAAACCATTATGTTTCGTCTTAAGAGTTATAACATCACGTTCTAATGGTACAAGAGGGGAGTAGAAATAAACAGAACCAAAAATAGATGAAACAGAGTCTAAGTCATCGGTAAATTACAAATTGTTTTGGGTACATTATGTCCCTGGAGCTAGAGTGGCTGAAAACCAAAGTGAGAACAGATTTGATGAAGGCACACCAAGAGAAAACTTTTGCTTCAGAAAGCAAATACACCACATGACTAACACATAGATGCTGCGTTTCTGATTCATGTGGGCATTTGCTTCTCACTCTCTCAGTGAGCTGTTATTTCTGTGAATATTCATCACGGTGAAACATGCACAGAAAAAAGTGATAGGTGATTGATTGATGATAATGAAAATAATTATTTTAAGAGATTTACTGATAAAGTCTTCAGGTCATTGACTCTCAATTATTTCCATGCCATTAACATTCAAACAGACAACCACATAAGGATATAGTGACCAAATGATAATTCCTTTTCCAAGGCATCTCTGGAATATATCAAGATTGTTTGGTTTAGGTCTGAATTATATTAATGTCTGCACTTTACAGGACATTGGTCTGTTTATCAATATCTGTGAAAATGCACAGAATATTGTTATTATTGTGAGCATAGTACATACCAAAGCAATATCCTGACAGCCATAAAATATGTTAGCTATACAGAACTATCCCTCTGTGTTCATGGGAACCCAATACTGCGGTAGACAAATTAAGCGACAGACTAATAAGGTATTGTTTCAGTGCCAGGAACGGAATGGATGGTTGTATACATGAGAGTGCATACATTAATCTACTCACCTACACTCCCAAGGGCAGCGTTCTGGAAAGATAAAACTGACCCTGGTTTTGGAGGCTGGTAGGTCTTGGCGATGGTGTAAGTTATCTGAGGAGGGAAACCACAGTGAGCCCATCAACATGACAAAGGTCATCAGCTTTCAACATCAATGCCATCCAGAGATGCAGAGTCAGATCCTTGTCCTATGGTACAGATCAGCTTCTCTACCTAGAAGTCTTTAGGCTCTGAAATGACTGATGACAGTATGAGAGAAACCAGAGCCTTGAAACTAAGCACTCACACATGCACAGAAATATGCAGTTGCATGTAAATATTTACCAACCACAGTGCACAAATCTCTAGGAGAAGAATTTGGTCATTGCTTATAAAAAGGCATAAAACAGAAGGTACACTGATTAGAAACAACAACTTGATTAAATAGTAGAAAAACAAAAACTACATGAAATCATTTAATAACAAATCTATAAAAAGCAATTTTAAAGGCTGTAAAAAAAATCCTATTTTAGGGGTGTGCACCCACAAGTTCAGCATATAAGCCAATAATAGACCTAGTCATGCTAAAAATGAGATCACAAAATTCCTAAGATCAGGAGATGCACACACACCTCTATGACTTGTGCATCAGGAGTGAGGCGGTCAAACAGAAAGCAAATGACTCGCAGGTCCCTACAGTAAAGCACCAGCTCCTCTGGAGTGAACTTTAGCGAGGAGTTTGGGGTCACCAGCTTGGTCCTGTTTGGGCCCACTGCAACGTAAGGGGGAGAAGAGGCCTAATTAAATATTTAACAGACAAATGGGTCAACAGCCAAAAAACCCTAGAGTATAGGTTATGTACATAATTACACTATGTGGGTTAGACCTGTGTGGGCTCCACTGAAATTAACTGTACAAGGGAACCTACAACCTGCTCATTCTAACATACAGTATGTGTTATTTAAACATCTTATTTTGCATTATCCCATCTTAGTAATGATGAGGGCAGTTATTTTATTACTTGAATTATAACACCTTTTTTGGTTCTATTATTTTCCAAGTTATAATCCTGATGTCATGAAGTCTAAACCCATTTTTGATACTATTTATGGTCAGCATTTTTTTTGGAATAGCCAGTATTTTCATTCAATAAACACCTCACTATATATATTAGCGGTTTTAATTGGTCATTCAGATTGCCTAACTAAACACAAGGGACTGACAGAACATGATTCAGCATATAATCCAGCACAATTTTATATCACAGCCTCACTGTTCACTTGCCTACAGCCATCTTAGGGCTGCAGTAAGTTATTACTATTGCAAACCAAACATTTGTTACGGCTGCTGCTTCACATTAAAAGCATTCAAATGGCTTTTCTTGTGAAGCAGCCACAGGAAAACGCAATATATTGGTCACTGAGGTTAGTGTTTGCTGCGATTGCTCATCAAAAATCATCATAGATTTTTCCAAAGAAGTAACAGAATAAGAAGCCAGAACAACGTGTTGGATGAAGAACTGCAACAAACTGAATAAATTGATGTTACCACGGTAACCACATGCGTCACCAAATGAACCAGGACTGAAATCTTAAAAGATCACATTTACGCCCTTCTTAGATCCAAACCAATGTAATGATAATATAAGCATTCAGTCAGAAGTTATACCAAAGCCATTTTTTACAAACAATATGTAAATATGCAATATGTATATAGCTATGCCTGTTAGTATATTCACTTTATTACTGATAGAGAGGTGCAACTTTTAGCTGTAGCATTAACAATATCATAGCTAAGGGCATAGTATACAGTATACTCTGTGACTGGACACACACACAAATAGGGAGTGCCACATAAAAGTAATACAAGTCAATAAATCTCAAGTCATAGCATTAATTAAAATACTTTTTACTGGCCGTGAGTAAAATTGTGGGCATGAGGTTTTACTTACCAACCACAACCTTCTCTATAGACGCCAAAGCCACATCGTGATCTCCTAAAAGCACAGGGTCTGCATTGTCCTGCGTCACGAATGGTATTTAAAGAAAATATACACATAACAACAAACACATTTTAGCTCCTGTCATCACAGTTTTTGCATTATGTTAAATGCTCTCCTTAAAAAAACACAATAACAACACATTATTCAACCATAATAAAATATAAGTATGAGTATTTAATCAGTACAGCTGTGCAGGGGGACTCACGTCAGGTTTGGGACTGTCCTGGGGCACGAAGGCCACTCTGAAGTGTGTACATAAGAGGGTCCCAGATAGCCAACCTCTTCCTTCCCTGGCAGTCAACTTCTTCCTCACCATAACAGCTCTCTGAAGTACACACTCGCCTGGAGGGGGGGACAAAAGGCAGATATAGTACAAAGGAATGGAATTTATGGGCAATGTAGGGGTTTTAGTTTTCTACATGTGTGTATACTAGGGGGGCTTATAATGAGGATACATAACAGGAAGTGAAGAGACAGAGAAACAGCAGCATGAAAGTTCACTGAGAGTAGGCTACTGGGAGTGGGTGTCTTCAAGTTGTTGCTTATTGTTGCAAATCCTCCGGTCACTGCGGATGGGCAGGGAGGAGCAGGAAGAAATAAAGAAGGAACAAAAATGCCATCTGATGGATGACAGTAGCTCTGGTGGTTCTGAATTACACAATCACAATTTATTTTGCTGGAAACTACATGCACATTTACATAAGAGTAAATCACCAAATTTAAATACAGTTTTTGCTCTCTAATTTACAGATGCATATCAAAACTCAACTTAAATGGTTATTTAATTTACAGATAGTTGTTGTTGTCTAAAACTGTATGGTATTAGAAATAAAAATTCTGTGGATAATTTATGAGAAATTAAAAGTTGAATGACCAATAATCTGATAACTACGGTAACAGGAAAGACCAATGGGAGTCCAGCAAATAGTATGTTAATTCATAAGGAGAGTATCATGTACTTGAAATGAAAGCTTAAAAAAAAATCTGTTTTAATAATATTTGATAAATATTAAATGTTAAATATTTAATGTGTGGAGGACGTTATTGGTAATCTGCTGACGCTGAGATTGTGACGAGTCCTTGTCATTGGCTAAGTGAAGGGGAAAGTTGAAGAAGCATCTGAAATTCCAGGACAAAACTTCCAAAAACAAACCTTTTCACTGAGAAAAATCTCATACACACAAACACCCTGCATAAACACCCTCAAAACGGGGAGGAAAAAAGGGAAAACACACACACACACACACACACACACACACACACACACACACACACACACACACACACACACACACACACACACACACACAGAGCGGTGAGACAGCACATTTATAACAGTCTCCCGCAGGAATACAAAGCCATTGCCAGCTAGACTGTGGGTTTCCATGGCAACAGAGTCCAGGATAGGGTAGACGTGGAGAAAATGGCCTTTTTGTCCATGTTTTCATATTTCGCTCAGAAGACCATAAAAAAGACGAGGAAAGACTGCTGGTTCCTCGAAAACTATAAAAAAAATATTCTGAGGAAACACAAAATTCCTTCACACATTTGGGAGGAACTAGCACAGCCCTCAAATTGAAAATGACAGTAGAGCTGTTGGGCAGAACGCTACCCCTTGCTCTTAGCTGAATGAACATTTTGGGGGATACTAAAGCAACAACAGGAAACAGCAGTTCTTACTGATGAAACACATGTTTATGCTGTGAGAGAAAAAGGAAGAAGCCTTTGCGTTCAACACCATAATTTGCTGATTGCTCAAGAGGAGTTTAAGTCTTTGGGCGTGCTCTATGATTATGCTTATGCCCTTCAGCCTCCAAAACCACGCATAAAAACCCTAGGCTGGACTTATCAATTAAACCTGACCACACATGATCTAGCTACAGAGATTTCAGACGCTTAGCACAGTGAACACAAGTGAACCCTTGTCTTTCAAAAAGGACAATCTGTGGCTTTGCATGCGCCGTTTTAATGTCTCCCCAGGGTGCAACGGAGCCGAAAACATTCCTGTTGCCTAAAGATTTGAGAGCCGAGGGGGGAAAGGAAGGAGAAAGACATGGAACCAAGGGCTTCTGGGTCTGTTTGCACTCTTTGGTGAGATTTAACAAGTTTGTGCTAGGCTAGCAGGTGCTTCAGCGCAGCATGAGTCAGCTGGACAAGTGATGGTGTTTACGAGACAGTTGTCCTTTAATCAAATAAAATCTTTTATGTTCTTGCCGGAGGGCTCCAGACAGAATGTAACAATGTGTGCTGAACTCACACAGTATTAGTGCATGTGTAGCTTCTTTCACATCGATAAAGCCAGACTGATCTTTTGCACTTAAACATAATAAATTAGATTATACATTATACATGTCTTCTGTCTATGACCGTGTGTTTATGCGACTGATGTTTGGGATATATTTGTTTGGCACACGCCTTTTGCTATGGGTGTGGCCCACAGTTAGTCAGATTACAGCTATAAAGAACAATAAGACAATAATAAAATAACATGCAGTGCAGACAAAACTGTGACTGTTTGATGTCCATTGTTTGAGAATGTGTGCTCCTAAAGACCAATGGATTTTTTTCTCCACATTAAGTTTAAATTTAAGTTTCCCCTTTAACATTTCAGCTGCTTCTGTTGATGTTGTGGTCAGCGACGTAAAGGATCAGCCTGAGAAAATACAGCTGAGAGAGATCTGAACCACATCCTTTAAACCTCTGTTTTATTTGTTTTCATCCACATTTGTTTCTCATTTTCAGCAGATGCACGCAGAGTGACATGTTTCTTCCCAACTCAACTCACTGGGAGGACGAGCAAAGACCAGGAGAGATTCCAGGGATGCAGCTGTATCTAATAATTGCTCTGGATATTTTCTGTAAATCGTAAATGACGATGAGATATGTCCTCAGTGCCTTCCCTATACTTTGACACAGCACAACATTACCAAAAGGCTGCTCTGTTGACAAACTATAGTTCTGAGAACTCAAAACCGCCAACCTTCATGTCATGCAACATCTACTATTAGTAACAGCAGTTTCAAAATGACAACCATATTTGGTTAGCTTGTCGTGCAATATGCAATAGATCAAAAGCAAAACGTGTCCAACCTTCACTAAGCCTGTCTCTGAAAAGTTGCTTTGTAGTACGCAGGTTGCACTTAAACCAGATGTATAATATGAAAATCATAAAAACAATATCATACAGACATACTGAATATCATGGATAACATCCATTCAAAGTCATACGAAGAGAATTTAATACCTTTTTAAACATCAAGATCGAAACCCAAGTATACAAATATCGATGCTCTGTTCTCTTGTCCATCAATCATCGAGGTATAAAGCGGATTGACAGCCTTTTAATCCCACAGTAACATAAGACTGCGGAGAAAAGGGATTGAGAAGTTGCACTGAAGGGGGTCCAGGCCTCTTAGCATTGTGTGTGAATGGACAGTATACCCCCTCCCCCACTCGCAGCATTGAAAAGGTACATGATCTACCTATGGCTGTCGGAGCTGTCCTGACCTGTTTGCTCTCCCGCAGACCGGCTCGGTTTCTGCGGTCCTGTGTCCCGGTGTCACATGAGAACATCGGGGACACTGGGCACTGCGCGGTAACTACTGGGAGAACGGGACAACGTCTGCAAACATATTTCTGATTTTGTGATTCATTGGGTTGTTCTGAACTTTTGAGTGGATCTGGTTTGAGACAGCACACAACCCAAGTTACCCTACCATGCAACAACAGCGTCCTTGTGTTGATACTGATATGAGTACTGTTTTTATGCAGGGTTGATAAATGACCTGTCCTTTGGCAGGTGAGCATGCGTGTGTTTGAGAGAAAGGGAGAAAGAGAGAGAGTCCACAGGTGCAACGTGAGCCCTTTCACACCGACTCACGACTCCTTTGTGTCTGAAAGTGAATTTGTTCTCACAAATTGTCTCAACACTTACTCAGAGAGACAACAGAATGTGCTCGGAGCCAGGATAGGATAGATTTCCCTGCCCAAAATCTGAATCTGTATAAAAACAATGTCTAAAATAAAATGAAATGCAAAATTTACAGCAGACTAATAGTATTAGTAAGTAGTTTTAGCTCACAGAGGACCTAATATAGAAAAAGAAAATGAGAATGAGGATTCTGAAAACATCACAGTGGTGCTAATACACATCTGTCTTCTCTTCTCTCTCTTAATATAAGACAGGTTCTCATGGACAGCTGTGTTTCTAATCTGCCTGGAATGGAGGTGGAGAGAGAGAAAAAAAGAAGAAGGAAGAAACAGAGAGGTAAGGGAAGATGGTTTTTGGAGACGGAGATGAAGTTGGAAGCCAGCAGGGGAAAAATGTGAAGAGTAAAGACAGTCGACATTTCACAGTGAAATGTTAACAGCTAAGAATAGGATCCCTGTGCGTGTTGTCCAGGACCAGCAGAGTCTGGAAAGTATTTTATGAAAACACACTTCTGGAAAACAAATTAGGCTGACTAAGTGAATGAAACTAAGGAAGGAAGTGTGTGCGCGTGTGTGTGTGTGTGTTGTGTGTGTGTGTGTGTGTGTGTGTGTGTGTGTGTGTGTCTGTAAAAACAAGCGTGTGCATGCATGAATATGTATATGTATTGTATCTTTGTGAGTGTGAAAGGTCAATGTAAAACAACAAACAACAAGTCTAACAGAATAAACATGACTGAGATGGACTTTTGATATGCAGCGTTAAAGATTAGCCTGTTTCAGATCTAAGGTGCTCTGGTCTGTTGCCATTCTTATGAAAAGCTCCTGCAGGTTGCTGCTGTCACGGGAATATGAGCAGGGTCGGGCTGGAAAAATAACTCGAACTGCAGAAGCAGCAGAGAGTTTCCGTGGCCCTGTACCATCCAGCAGATTATCACTTGAGTTAAGAGGGTTGACCTCTGGTAAACCTAGCTGGCTAAAGTCCCTCTACAGCAGGGGTTTTTATAGTTGGGGTGGAAAAGGAAAGTGATTTCAGGGTGAGCAGGATCTGGGGCCATATCTTATCAAGGTATCTGGATCTCTAAACAAGGAGAATTCTAGTCACAGTCTAGGCAACATAATTAGTAGTGTATAGTTCACCCAGGAGCCATAGGTTGTTGTACAAGAGAAGAGGCCAACCAGTAATAACGTGACCACGGTGGTCACATACAAGGTGAACAGAAGAATGTAGACACAGCTACTTCTGGTATACAGTGAAAACAACACTTCCTGATAATGCACATCCATGTAGTTTTTTGGTTGTGCTGCTCCGAGTAAATGGTTAACTTCGGCAGAAACTATAAATCAGTCCACATGCCGTAAGCAATTACTTGAGAGCTCTGCAACACCACACCTTTACTCACATTCGACAAAAGACATTTGCTGCTGATTTTAATTCTAAAGCTGAAAGACTTTTTGATCTCATCTACACAACAGTTCATCGAGGATCCCAGTCCACTTTTGTGTGCTCAGGTTTGCTTTTCAACAGCAGATGTTTTCCCGTATCAAAGGCAAAGCACCTGCTGTCACATTCCTGGTCCAGGTGTGGTAAAAGTGCAATATGGAAAATTCAAACCACAGAAAACAATGACTGCAGCAGCAGTTTTATGCCTCAGTGTTAATATTTCATCTGATCTTGAAGCAGCCTGGCAGTTTGTGCTATATTATTTAGTGCCTTTACACATTTCTTGTGTCTGACTGGCATCTGAAACCTATTTATTGTTACAGTAACTTGAATCATTCTTTTTTTATTTAGTCAATCCAAACGCGTGGATTTCTCAAAAAGGTTGGCTTTAGGGCTGTAAGAACTGATGTATTGATCATCATATTAACGATGCCACTGATTTCCTTACATATTTAAAATATACATATCTCTAAGCATTAGCTCTAAAAAGCACAATCTTACCTGGCAGGCAGCGTAATCCAAACACATCTCGACTCCTTGCGTTCACCCCACTCTGACTCAGCATCCTCTCCTGTAAGAGAAACACAAGACATCATTTAATCCTTCTTATTTTCAAAGCGACTTATTTTACATATTACTGTAACAGAATGGAACTTTCTTTTGCTTAAGGGAATACTTCTAAAAAATGTTAATTTTCTTGCTGTGAGTTAGATGAGAAGATCAGTCTTTATGCCATGCTAAGCTAACTAGCCATAAATATACTGGACAGACATTAAAGTTGTATCAATCTTCTAATTTAAATACCTTTACACCTTTAATAACTTTAAATGAAAGTAACATACAGTACAATGTAATAATTTTGTTAACAGAATGCTAAATGTTGTTCACTACACTACACAAGAACTTAAATACCCTGACAGATGAAAGTGTTCATATGAAAGGAATAATGTTCTTTGTACTTCTAACCTATGGCAACAGGCTCTTTAATTTGTTTAATCAAGAATCAGACTAAACAGAGCACACTAAACACATGGACAGAGCCGTATGTCACCTTTGGTCTCGCTGATTATATTTAAATGATGTCTCTGCCTGCTTCTCTCATCTGGCTCGTCTCAATGGACTCATTTCCAAAGACAAAGAAACAAAGCCAAACCACAAATGCTCCATGATTCTTAGTTTCCATTTTGCTGTTTGTTTCTGCTTTCCCTATAGTAGTAATGAAGTCTCACATACTTGGGTCTGTTCTACAAGCAGATTCCAACCCCACAGAGCCACAGAGGTTTCTATAATCAGACTACGAGCTTACGAGCACATATGCTTCCACTTAACTTTGCTACTAACCCCCCTTTGTGAAGGGCATTTACATTTATCGGCTTGAAATCCCATAATATGCAGAGGGTTTGCAATGTGAGAGGACGATATGATTATACAGGTGGCGAACGAGCTTTATAGTAGAACAGAAATAGAGTTAAGGCCCCGAGTGGACACCCAAGAAAACTATACATAGGAGAGCGTCAAACCTCTTTCTCAGCAATTCTGAGTTTGGTCCACAATGAACCTATTAATCAGCACCAGCTCTATCACAAAACACCGGTATTTCTTGGAGTCAGCAAGGATGTGTGAACAATAACAATGAATCCACTCAGTCGCCAATGTTATGCTAACAATTTTGCAGTGTGGTGAATTCTGTTAGCGGGCCTGCTCATGAAAAACCTGAGACTCTAAGTGTGGCGCTCCATAAAAAAACCAGGGAACGTTTAACAAAGAGGACTTTTGCTCCTTGAAAAGGTAGTAAAGTCACACTTATTCATAGCTGGTTGTTTTCTTTGCATGTGAGAGTCCCTGGCTGTTCTCGAACAAACACCCTTAGATTCTCCTTTAGATGGAGCATTGATATATCAGAGAAACTTTTCTTTTTAGATTTGCCAAGTTCATAGTTTTTGACGGCGTATATATGATGCATATATTTCGTATATAGCGTAAACTGTTAACCACAGTTATATATTCACAATTTTTCAATAATAACAAAACAGTAAAGATTAAAAAAGAAGAAAGAAAACCTTACTGATTTGCTAATTAATACAACTCAGGCTAAGTGAGCCATGAACGTATTAATGGAGACAAAGAATGGTTTTAATCAATCCAAACAATATGAGCACTAATTCATATCATATGGGCCCGTTTGCTCTGGTGCAATATCTTCTATAAAATGGTTCTATACTGCCAACTCCAACATCTGTTAAAAAACTACAGGGACTAACCAACAGCAGTGAGAGTTCTCCCTAACCTATATTTTCTATGTGTTCATTCCAAGACATTAAAAATGTGGTTATAGTTCAAACAATTTCACTGATTGAATTTGCTGGGCAAAAACAAGGCTTTTTTTTATGATAAGGCAGGACACTAACATTTTACAAGACTTAGTTTCTGCTTGCCAAAGCATTGTTCTTTTTTTTCCCCATCTGGCTTTAAAATGTCTTGTGCTTTCCCTCAGTCGCTACATCAACACCCACAGAAAACCCGCAGCTGAATTCCTTATGCCCTTTTGAGAACATCAGAGGCTCTTCAGATCAGATTGTTATTCCTTTCTTAAGTCTAGTGTCTTAGATCTGTCCTCTGAAGGTTGTTAAGACTGACAAACTTGGGCCTCAGGGTCTTGTGAGGCACGAAAACTCACTAGATAACACTGCATTTCACAAGGTGAAACTGGCACTCAACTGCAGACCGGGCTATGTCAATAATGCGATAAGGGCGATATGAGTTGAACTCCCTCGGTTTAACTAGCAAAAACTTGATTTGTGCGTGCAATAAATGACAGTTACAAAGATCTGCAGCGAAGGCATTTCTATGTGAAATCGAAGCATTTATGCTTTACTTGCAACTTTTGCAGCATAAAGGTAAAAAAGGCAACAGAGATAAGGAAATAACATAACATCTAGGTATAAACTTAAAGATGCTGTGGCCAAAGTAAGGCTCGTCTCAGTCTCATATCACTCAAAACCCACATTTCCAGGGAAGTGTTTAAGCTGACGTTTCACTTTTTTTTCATTGTGCGGTTTCAGTGTCAGCGTCCCAACTCTATCACTTTCATTGCCTTCTTCTCCCCCGTGCTGCCTCTCTGCCCCACTTTTGCCCTCCTCTGCTCCCTCCCTTCATCCTCAGGGACAGTGGCCAAGGCTTATTGCAGTTTCCATTGCTCATGGCTTCCCCTCGCTACTGCAGACAGACTTCTGCAGTAAGCCTGCTTGTTTCTGAGACTGGAACATACTTCTCTTTCCCAAAAAACAGGCCAAAGTCACAAGGAAAGAGAACTAATGGAAACAAATAAAATGCACTACTGTTGCATCTTAATCTCTAAAAATCAAATCCTATCTCCTATCATTCTTAAAACCTAACTTACGTGGGTGTGTGTGGTGACCCACAGCACACTGTGGACCTTTAGCATCTGTTGTTATGATGAACGATTCTCTTTTGAAAGCTGTTCCTACTGAGATACGCTCTGCTTGGTGGTTGTAAAATACACATTAGCTTTTAGCCACTGTCCACTGTACATGAAAGGGTCACACAGCCCGTTAGTTTGTGTTGTGCTTTTCATTTCCTCACATGAATGGGGACAGTCATTTGGCATTGTGAGCTGGCTTGGAAGAAAAATAAGGAGATGAGGTAGTTTTGCTAAAAAGGGCTCACTTTGAAGTGTTTCCTCCTATTCCATTCAGAATAACAGACTTTTTTTTGGTCTACATAAATAAAATGGACTGAGAACTCTTCCTTTGAATCATCGCATCTTTCCTTTAGTTCCTTGTCTTTCCTTTAGAAGCAGAGCAGTAATGATATACTGTACGTGCTATAATAGAAACAGAGGATCTGATCTTACATAAATTAATGCAGTGAAAGCAAAAGACTAAAAACAGCAGTACACATCAGAATGAGGTCCTCAGTGGAAATATACTACTTAGTGTAGTGTATTAAAAAAACACAACTGGATTCCAGGTAAAGCTGTGTTTTGGCCTACTTTTATACTCTTTACTTGAGTATATTTTGGAGCTCTCTTTTCACTTCGCAACATTAGCATTCATAGCTTAATTACAACTCTGGTCTAAACGCGGGGATTGAATGTGCTGGAAGAAAAAAATTAAAGACCACCTGTCTTTTGACCACAATATGTTTATGACGGAACAAAACCCAGAACAAGAGGCAGCTTGCTGTGCCTCAAGAGAAACACCTTACATGTCGGCTTTTAAAACTCCTCTTCTAACTCTAACTCTTGCTCTTGAAGCAAGTTGCACATACTGTAAGTGAAAATGTGGTTAGCTGGCTAATGTTATCTATGTCTTCCGTGTGTTACATTAATCTTTGATGTTATAATAATGACATTCATTCATCTTGCAGCTGGTGATCTGTTGTTTTTTTTTTAATTGGTGTAAAACATCAACGTTACTGTCATAACTGCAGTAATAATCATACTTAATACAACATATTAAAATGGCAAGTAAAGATGTTTTGTTGTATTATGTTTGAGTAAGATATAGGGTAAAATAACTAATCAATGTTTCATGAATTGGGAATTCAGATGGTTCATATTTAATGCGAGAATATCTGCATATGGATATCCAACTTTTAACCCATTTCTCAGCCTGTAGCAATTAGCAGAGCCCTCCCCTGCTGTAACGTTTCATTCAGAAAACCTTCCATGAATGTCTGGCAACAAGGGCCAGCCTGCATTCTTATCCGTTTTCATTATAACAGCATCAGTCTGCACTTCTAGACACACAAAAGAACAGATAATTACTGGCTCATTTAATGGTATCCCTGCTGAATGATTTACAATTCATTGTCTCAGAACATATTTGTGTCAACAGCATCCCCTTCCTCTTACTGCTAAATTGTTCAGTGCTGACAGAGAATTAAATATATGTTTGTACAGTTGGTGACTCATTGTAAGATCAACACAGGGAGATTCAAAGGTTAGTTAGTTTAACAAAAAAAATCTCATCCATTCTTTATTGTACTCTACTGTGTTTTGTCCAGATCAGCCTGCTAGTGTTGCAGCGCTGCTCTCCTTAATTACAGCCGAGCTCTACAATGAGAGTATTCTGCTGCATGTGAGAGCCAGAGAGTGCAAATTAGACTGTGAATGTGAAAAAAAAAAAAAAGGATTTGGCTACACCGGTGACTGACTCTGTTCTGACTGCAGGTTTGCCAAATTCTCTAAGCTCCTACGATAATGAATCCGTTATCTCTCCTCTCTCTTTCTCAGCAAAGGGCTGTGCATTGAACATTCAACTAGCAGCTTCTCCGTCGCTTTCACCGTTCATAATGACAAATGTCACAGTCGGCAGGTCGTAAATGAATGTTAAAGCCATGAAATTAAAATGGTAGTATTAAAAACAACATCAAGCAAAAAAAGATAGCAGTGCAGCTTACTGACCTGTTCCCATCAGCCCACATTCACAAATCATACTCTATTTGATTTGACAGTAATTTCATCAGTCACTATACTGCCTGTCAGAGGAGCCCTGACATATCGGTTTTTCCAGGATCCTTCTTTTTAAAGGCCGGGAGGGTTGCCTAGTGGCTAGACGTCACATGTCTGACGCCCACAACAGGCAGTGTATCCATCAACAGCAGCGTTTCCTCGTCTTGGTCTCTGGAGCACACTCTAAAAAACCCTTACATTCTCGCTAACAGTACATCAATTCAGATGAGTGTCAGCTAAATGGCTTAAGTGAAAATCTAATGCTGAACGTTGTACATTCTCTGTGGCTCATAATCGTCTCACGTACGAAATGTTATTTTGATTTTCATCTCTAGTCTGACAGCTCAGGCCCCTTGAGGGAGTCTCATCAGAGCCATTCCATAGACTCAAAACAGACAAACAGGCTAACCTCTCAGTCCTTCTCAGTCCTTTCACGAGTGAATTGTGCCACTGGTTAATTATCACCCAATGCCGGATCGATACACCCTCTAACAGGACCATAAATCTGCTCTGGCGTGAAGTAGAGCCCATTGTTGTGCTCTGAAGTCTCGGCAGCTCAGGGACTGGCAGTGAATGTGACGTCTGGGTCCTATGGGAGAGGGTGTGGGTTACTATACTGCTTTGGCCCACTCCTATCAGGCTTGGATCTTCAGCCTCTTTGAATAGAGCTCAGATGATCCCTCCTCTGGCATTTTTGCTTCTGTGGAGCATTGTGCTGTGTGCCTTTCATGCTGACTGCTTCAAAGCTGGCTGGGAGATGCAGATAGAGGGAACTCAAGGGGATAGGCGCAGCTAAAATAAGCCTGAATAAGCCTGCTATCCTGTCAGATTGCAGGCCTGAGCATCCTTATGAGGCATGCACTGCTGTATCCGTCGTGTTTGACATTTCCTATTTTTTCTTTATCTGATGTGAGGGTAAACTAGACCTCTTCAGATTTTGGACTTTTAGCCATACAAACCAAGCAATACGAAAAGGACGCATTTGGCTTTATTTGGGTTTTTTTGACTCTTTGGAAAACAAGTAATTAAACAACTAATCAAGACAGTAATCTGTAAATTAAATGCTAATAAAAAAATAATCATTAGTTGCAGCCCAATCCCAGTTCATGCCATCCCAAATGTCTTGTGTTTGAGACCCTGATTAAAAGGAGAGAACATGCAAACTGTAAAGCCATCTGGTCCAAATTCAGCCCAGTACTGGATTCAGTTTTCTAAAGCAGTCTTAACACATGCTCATGGAAGAGCAAACCCACAAGAGTGTGTGGGTGGCCTGTGCATATAATCTACACAGCCTACTACTCTACATTACCATATCTTAGGCTCAGCCACATTCTCATACTCGGACACATGGGACTTCCATTGGTTGGGTGTCTGCGACGAATTCTGCGTGTCTCAATCAGAGGTAATCAAATTCAAAACTCCTCTACCTCCCCGACTGCTGTCTCCATGGCGACAGCCAGATGTTGTGCAGTGCACATCACCCCCCACTCCACATGCAAGCCTCGCCCGAGGGCAGAGCAAAGAGGCATCTGTTACCGTTTCCCCCTGCGGCTGCTGGAAATAACCAGGGAGAGACAAAAAAGCCAGGCAACACAAAGACGGGGGCCAAGAGACTGCTCCCATAGGAATGAGCAACACATTCATACTATGTGTACACATTGCTTTGTGCTGTCTATCAAACTAACGAGCCCTTCTATCCTCCATGCTCTCGGGTGCTCCTAAACAGGGACAGTGTCTTGCTGATCATTTCAAATACAGTAGCAGCAAAAAAGAATTTCATCTTCGGGCATTTCAAAAGCAGTTCATGTAAGCATCATGTGACGTTTAAAGGATTTTGGGCAATAAAAGCAGCTGCAACTGTTCAGTGCTGTTCTCAGAAGATGATCTGCACCATTTGAATCTGTGCACAACAACTTAATCCCATATGAGACAAACCCCACCACCACTTCACTGGCCTTTTATCAGACATGCAGCCAAAACACAGTGACATTATGTACCCTTACAGTAGTTATGTGTCTCCCTGTTGTCCAGACAGAAGGAAACAGCAGCCCTATGCAGCCCAGTCCCCTCCCTTATAAAGCTGTCACCCTGAGTGGCGAACAGAAATATCATGAGACAGTCCACATTCACACACTGAACAGACTCTCAGAGGTTTCTAATCCAACCAGGCTGCAGACTAACCTGGACGTGCATTTTATAGCTCTGCATCGTGCTTTTCTGGCCTCTCTGGTGTTAAATCACATGAGTGTTTGATGAGTTAATGTTATATAGCACTGAGAAAGCAGAACCTGCCTCAACTCAAACCCTTCATCTGATTTAAGATTTAATTGGTAAATCAAAATTCAACTGAAATGTATATAACCCACAGCTTTTGCTCTACAGTGAGTACAAATGATACCTCAGTGTCCAGTTATGCGACTGTATAAAACAGGATAAAACAAGTTAATGCCAGTGCAAGTCTCTTAACTAGACAAAGCTAATAGTTAACGTGTCGACCTTACCTTGATGTCTGGGAGCATTTGTCTCACTTTGAACGTGGTTTTAGATCCTGTCAACATTTTTGACGACTCGACTTAAAAACAGCAAGAAAGAGACGAGCGAAATAATTTTTTTTTTTTAAATTAAACAGAAAAAAAAGAATAAATGTTGTTATTATAAGCTAATGGTGGCTGGGGGTTTTAGTCTTCTCCTCTCCTCAGGAAAAGAGACGAAAGGTCCGGAGTCCGGTAACGGTTAGCCTGTATCACCGGCTGCTGCTGCTGCTGCTGCTACAACTGAGGTGTTACAAACTAGTTTCGCTCTTTTCATCGCTATTCGCACTGACAGCATCCACACACACACAAAAACGACGAGAGCACAACCCCTGCCGACGTTTCCCCACCGGTCACCGGACCATTACTAACCGCTGTTAGTCACTAACGGGAGAGATGCGTTCACCGTTACTGCTGCTTTCCTAAACCATTGAGCTCTGTTTGTTTACCCCTTCGCCATAGTGAAAAAAAAAAAAAAAGCTCAGTGCAGCAGTGGAGTTTCTTAAAGGGGCCAGTACATCTGGAGCATGAAGCCTGGAGAGGCTGTGAAAAGTCCGCAGGAAGTTTTTTATTTTAACGCACTAAGAAGTTGAGTGTCGTCGCTGAAGGTACAAAGAGTGTCAGTTTCTCCCCGCTTTCACTGCACCCCTTGAACTCACCACCACTCAACAATGGCTTTTACACCCTGGTGGAAGAAATATCACAATAATACATAATACAAAATAAAAGTACACAAGTATTATTATCAAGTATTAAGTGTCATTATCATCAACATAGTATAAAATGTATTTATATTTATATTGTGTGATATCTTTTTGTACCTCCACTTCTGTACTGTCAGTTTTGAATTTCTCCTAAGGGGGATCAATACAGGAACATCTTATGTTATCTTATCTAATAAAAAACTAAAATAACTGGTCATGCTTTGTTAGACATACTGTATACTGCCTGCCTTGTAATTTTGCTCTTGTATCGTTTCTATTTTTTTTTTACTTTTTTATTTTGTATACTTGTAAATATGTATTTGTTTCTTTTCTCTATTTATCTGTCCTAGTGCTGCTGCAACACCTTAATATCACTTCTGGGAAGGTGTAAAGTATCTTATCTTATATTGTAATACTAAATTGTTAACACTAATGCAATTAATGTGTAAAGTAGCATTTCACTGTTTACTGTAGCTGGTCTAGGTGCAGATAGTAATCTTACATTGAACACTTTAATCTGCAAAGTAACTATACCTGTGAAATAAATAAGGTATTCAACATTTCTCTCTGAACTGTGGTGTGGTAGAAGTATAAATTATAATTAAATGGAAAGTACCTAAAAAAAATGTATTGTATTCAGGTAAATGTACGTAGTTACAACGCACCATTGCCTTCAAACAACTCTTAAGTCCTATTAATGTGTTTAATTTGTCCCAACTTGTGCTTTGTTTTGACATTCCTACATCTGTATCTTTTGCTTTTCATAGTGAGAGCTCTGGCTTCATATTCAGGGAACTTGTTGCTGAGTGTTTAAACTGAAGCAGTAGCTGAGCCACTCAGCCAACATCCATAAAACCATTCAACTCTTGACCTTCTAGTATTTCAAGCCTCCGAAACCCCTCCTAAAAAAACAAAATAATCTTGTTAATTTAACCATCTACAGCTCGTTTTGGTCAGCAGTACCTTTTTTTTTTGCTGATCCTTTTGCAGGTCTGTGTGGGGACTGGCTCCTCTTCTCCTCTCTCATCCAAACTTGTGGAAAGAAACCACCAATAACTCTTTTCCAGGATGCCAAGTGGGAAGAAATTCCTTTCCAGCGTGAACAGGGAAAGTTGAATAATCCGGAGCAACAGTCTGTCCTGCTGAACAGGTAGCGAGGCGATGTCCTTGTGAACTATAATAGAGAGAGGTCTGGATTTTTTACCACATGGGAAACTGTTCAATATTACATAAGGGTCTCCGATTTCTCTGATACATAAAACAGTCCCAGACACAGGACCTTGCATCATCTGAGCTGGAGTTATTCAACAATGTATAATGCAACAAGGTTAGGGTAATACATGTTGTTTTATGTCTCTCTCTTGCTCCACTTTAAAGATAACGATGATAATATGATGCTTATTTGTTCGCTGAGGAAATCCTGTTTTCTCTTGCCCCACACAGAGTTGAGAGCTATATAATAGAAATCGTGGAGCTGGTAGGGTTTCAGTGCACTGCTTAAGGACACTTTGGCAGTTAAGATGCTTTCTGGTAACTTTTGTCCAGTGAGAGGACAGTCTCACACCCCCACCCTCAAACTTTAACAAGCTGACTTTAAGAGCTTGCTTCAGATACAATTTTAATTTTGTCAGTTGCTTATTTGCAGCCATCTAGCGATTATTTCTAGCGATGTTTTAATTATCTTCCAAGTTCACTTGGTCTATAAAATGTTCTATTAAATGTTCAAATTGCTTGTTTTGTCTGACCAACAGTCCAAAACTTGAAATTAAATTTACTAACACATAAGACAATGAAATGCAACTTTCTATCAGCTGACAAATCAACCTAGTGCTGAGACTTTATGTATGGACTAAATCTGAAATGTGTAAAACCCTCTTTGCCATTACATTCATAGACCATTAATTCGATTTTTATGGAATGAATTCGATAATCAGTCATTGTGTGTGTAGCTTTTATAATAATTAAAAACAAAGAAAAGAGCAGAAGCATAGCATTCTTGAAATACAATGAGAATTTATTCAAACGGTGCAAAAAAAATTAATAATTATAATAATAATAATAATAATAACAACCTAACATAAAATCTGATGTTCTTTCTATCCAGATTGCACTGTCACACAGCCTTAGGGCTCTCCTCTCGAAAAAAACAAAAGCAAAACATTAAAACAATAAAAAATAAAAACAGATCAAAATACCAGGACAAATGAAATCAAGTTAAAATAATGCACAAATTTGGTAAAATGGATTGCCATTTACATGCAACAGTTCCAGTCCCATGCAACTCGAAGTATTCCATGTTAATGTCACTGATGATGAATATTCTGTCCACAGAGAAATTACAGTGTTGTACAATATATAAAAATATATCGGGTCAGCTGTGTCGCAAAACTAATTCTGAGCCATTTCTCATCTGGTTTGGAGGAAACGAGCTGGGTCAACAAGAACATTAACTGTCATGTTTTAGCATAGCACGGATTGGTGGTTGTAGAAAAAAGTAAACAAAAATGTACAAATCAAAATAAGCGACAAACAAATAAAAGCCGGACTGCTAGACAATTAGCCATGTGAGAAAGAACATCCTAAAATGTTGCAACTAAACATTCCACAAGGAAACCTATTAAAAAAATCTCACTATAAATATATATTCTCAAATGGTAGGTCAGCATTGAGGAAATCAGTTTGCAATGAGCGAGCCTTGAGTATCAAGAGGCCCGTCTGGGAGTTACCTTCGACAGCCAAAATGTCACTTTCTGGTAAACACCAAATTCTACCCCAATCCGGGCTCTTACACATTTATCATCCATACCTCTTTTAATATCCAACAATATACATTCTTACCCATTTAAAAACACTGTAAAACTTCGGGCTTACAAAAATAACTTGAAACATATTTATACAACCTCTCATTGTTTTTTTTATTTAAATACAAAAACGTGTTTGTAGCCGGTAACGTTTGATGTTTTACATGTCTCTGAGGCATCTGTTTCAAACATAAAATAATAAAAAAAAAAAAAAAAAAAAAGTTTTTGTAGGCTAATTATTACTTTGGAGGGCAGGGAAAGAGTATTCACACATACACATTATTCAACAAAACAAGCATCACCTTCCCACGGTAAGGGAACACTTCATGGGTTTTGTCTGAATTAAAATGCTAGTGCATGAACACTTGTCAACACACATTAACACAGCAAATGAAAATGCTTTTTTGGGGAAATAGCGTCATGTAAGTGTTTTATTGTCATTAAAACTCTAGTGTTACTTTAAATACACAGCAAAAAGACTCCCTTCTTCCTTGACCAGCTTTTGCAGTGTAGAAAATAGTGTATTATACTTTTAAATTAGCTCTACTGAAAATTATTCCCCAATATTTTGGTTATTTTTATTTGTAGTTCGAGTATAGGTCACCCAAGGTAAGCTCCAAACACTGACTTAAAAAGAAAAAACAAAACAAGAGTGCCCTCAACTGGGCAAGGCAGTGAATTGCATACTAAATTGTGCTTTTCTAGACTTAATTCCAAAGAATAGGTTCAATCAACAAGAGTAGAGCAGCTAGAGTCGCGCTACCTCAAAAGAAATTCCTCACCATGGCTTCTCATAGGGGAAATAATAACAAATTAAAGTATTTAAGTAGTCATTTTGACATTAGTAGAACTAAAACAGCTTTGAATTTGAAATGATAATAAGGAAGACTCAAACAGAACATCCGTCTGTATCAACTAGTTGATATGCCTAACTGAAAAGAACAATGGCATTATCTTAATAGCTTCAACATAATTTTTCAAAAATGAAGAATTTGTTACATCTTGGGGCAGTAGTAGTAGAAACCGCAAGCGATGAAGCAAGCAGTGGATACTTGATGTTCGACTTGCACAACATACAAACAGGATTGTGATGCCACGAGGACAAATGCTGAAAAAGGCAACTAGGAAACTGAGTTAGATGGTGACGCTGGCACCAAAATGCTGTAGCTCGACAGTAACTGAATCCTTTAGAGAAACCCTTCTGACCTGTGCCCCTGCTTTCCCATGAACAGAGGTGGCAGTGTCTGCAGAGATGAACAAAGGACAACAGTCAGGCCACTTCAAAAACAGTAAAAAGTTTTGTAACTACGGACATCAGGAAAGTGCTTGAATTTGTGCAAAAAGAGATAACGCAACTGGATTTGGCGGGACGAATGCCATAAATTAAGAAACCGCCTTCAGTAGAACTTCAGAACTTGCAGTGAGCGACCAAACCAATAAGCTTTAAGATGTCTTATTAGCAAGGACACCATGGATGTATGACATTGAAGTTAACCTTTTGTGTGATCGTGAGATTGTATGCAACATGTTTCACATTTCTCAACCATCAGTGCGCAGAGGGTTTGTCATTTCAAAACAGTGAGTTTCAGAATCACAACCTATTACCTTAATTTGTCAATACAATGTTATCAACATCCAACAGAAGTGCATGTGTCCCTTTGCATCATGCAAACAGAAATTGGAGACAACTGTCACAACTGCAGACATCCTCACTGCTCCAGTTTATGTCACATGTTTAATAACAAATCAGTTCATTTGCTTTACTTGTCTGAAAACCAATGTGTTCAGCAACTTTAACAGTTTAACTTAACAGCATGTTACACAAGTGACTGGTGTCTCCAAACTCTGATGTGCTGGATGTAACATTTTGACTTTGTAGTGTGTAGTATTGCATGCCTGGGTTGGCCACAATAATCAAATGCCTCAATGCCAACCATTATTACAGAAAGAGGAAGACCAGACTAAGAAAGAGAAACATTCCAACAAACATGAAATACTCTTGATCAGGCTCTGGATCAGTATCTTACCGAGTGCTATTTTGCTATGTCGTCTTTGTTCTACACCGCCCGGTCAATAATGTGACCAAATGCATTTTAATCTTCAAAAGAGGTTGACATTTTCATCATCCGATTTATAGATATATGAATTGGACAAAAGTGATTTTGTTTTTAGGTGATATTTGCTTTGCCAACAAGATACTTGTAACAGTCCAGAGCAGTTTTTCTTCAATGCGTGGACATTTATGTGTTTGCATTCTGGAACATTAGCACCACAGCAGCCCACAGAATGCTTAATCATTAGCATTGCTTGGTAGTTTCAATTTGCATTATGCAAATGTGACCGACGAAAAAGCAATTCGACAAGGATTAATTCTGCTGTTTCCCGAGGTACATATGACGCAAGGATCTAGTAACAGTAGTGTAAAATCTGTATAACACTGAAATCACCCAAACCGGATGTGACTTCAAAATGCTCAAACATCCCTTAATTAATCAATCCAAACATTATCACAGACCACAAATGGAGCGGAGACACTCGTGCCTTTTCAGTTTGTGCTTGCATCACTGTGTATGAAGTAGTGTGAGTCTGACTTAGTGTAAATGTGTGCATGTACTGTATGTGTGTTGATGAGTGTTAAGTATGGTGCCTGCCATATACATTCTCTCCACTAGGAGGAGACAGTAGCAAGGCGTTAAACTCTGATAAAGGAGGAGAGCCTGCAGCTTCCACGCACACAACACGCATGCACACGCGCACACGCACGCACGCGCGCACACACACACACACACACACACACACACACACACACACACGTACACACATACATAACGCCTGCATAAGAGCCACAGCAAAAATGTAACAGAAGTGCAGTTAGTTTATTCTATGGTCTAACATGTGACCCCAGCAGTCAGAAACCACCCTGTTTATTCTGTAGTCATGTTGACTCTGACACTTTCTGAGGTCTATTCCAACAGGAAGTGACAAAAAAGGGAGGGAGCTGGTTGTGCCTTTCTCTTGTCCATTCAGAGGCTGATCCGCCCCAGCCGTTATTTTTTTTTAACTGAAAAAGGCCACTCATCAAATTCAAGCCATAGAAAGGTCCATTCAGAACCTGTGGATGGCTGGTTCTGTCTCCCTCTTTTTCAGCTCTTCCCGGTAGCAGTAGGAGCAGTAGTTGCCCGTTTCGGGGTGTCCGTAGTAGGTGCAGCTGGGTGTCCGACAGCGGCTGGACTGCAGGCTGGCCAAACCACCGGCGCTGCCAAGTGAGTAGTGTCTGACTGGGGGTTGCCCACTCCGAGAGTCTAAGTTGGAGCGCATGTCCCGGAAGCCGTTTGTGTAACTCCCACCAGCGGTTTCAGACCCAGGGTAGTCTGGTGGGTCGAATTCAGGGGGATATGAGGGTGCAAGGCGAGAGGGACTCAGGGAGGCGGGGCCTTGTGAGTTATTGTACTGGGGATGGGAGGGACCCTGTGTTGTGGGGCAGTGCCGGGGAAGGGTGGCGTAAGAGGGGAGGCCGGGGTAGGAGGTTGCTGGGGAACCGCCAGCTAGCTGGCGCCGAGTGTCCATGTAGCCATGCATATGAAGGTGCTGGGTGAGGGGTACTGCAGCAGGAGGCTGGTCTATGAAGGAGGGCCTGGGGATGGGCACAACACCAGAGTACATAGAGGGGCTCAAAGGAGAGGGTTTGAGTTGGGTGAAGGAAGTTGAGGAGTTCTCTGACAGTTCCTCTTTGGCCTCGTAAGGCCGGTAGGTTAGCTCTGTACCACCAACTGCCTCCTTCTTAGGTAGCTGGATGCCGTTGGTGACACCCTTCCTCTCTGCATCACGGCGCTGTTGTTCTTGCTCAGCACGAAAGCGCTCCTCCGCATCCGTGAGGTAGCGCTGGATCATCTCCTCCTGGAAGGGCTGCCGGTTGCTGGTAGTGAGAAGGCTGGCAAAGATGAATTTCCTCTCACCTTGCATGGCGCCGCGCAAGATACCCAGACTGACTTTGACATCAGCGCTGTACTTGTAGGTATCACTCTCAGTACTGCTCCCACCACTGCTGCTCATACTGCTCCCTGTTCCGTTGAGACGCTCACTACCTGAGGAGGGGGAGCCTTTCCCAGAATCCTCTGAGGTGTGGGCTGAAGGCGAGCCATCCTTGCTGCCCTTCCTCCCCCTAAACGAGCCCTTCTTCTTCTCCCCACCCTCCTGCTTGACACCTCCAGCTCCAGCGTTCTTTCCTGTCATCAGTCCACCCACGTTTTTCTTCAGCTTGCTGCCCAGGCTTTTGCCAAAACTGCCCAGCTTATTGGCCACAGAGTCTGCCCTCTTCTTGTCTTTATCTTTGTCCTTCTCCTTCTTGGTTTTGTCCTTCCCTGCTCCCGCCCCCGCCGATCCACTGCTGGAGGAACTAGATGAGGAAGAGGTGCTGTTCTTGGCCAGGGACCCACCTCCATTAACCGCTGATCCTGTGGTTGTGTCTCCATTGCCATTGGAGCTGCTGCTGACTGACTCCTTGTCTGACTCTCCTGAGTCAGGAGGAGTGCGTGCATCCTCTCCGGCTGATGCTGTGGGAGACTCGGGCTGTGCCAGAGGGGCTTGCTGCGAGCAAACAAAGCAGAAACACAAGTTAGTGGAAAAATACTGTAGAAAAATGTACACCAGGCCCCGATCTGCTGACTTTATGATGGAACAGACAACAAAAAATGTAATACATATAAAACGGGAAAAAAAGGAACGTCACATTCTGTTCTAACAGTACAGGCACATGCCCCTCAGGTATAAGTGGAAAAATCAGCACAAGATATAAAAGATGTGAAAAGAGTGAGTCATAAAGCTGTTTTTTTGCAGACCAATGCAGAAAAACACAAATGACTCAGTTTCCAAATGCTTGTTCAAATTTACAAACATGTTAAGGAAGATGTAAAATACAGAATGCTGTATTTAGAAATGGCATGACCTAGATGATGACGCAGTATTCTGATCTCAAACGAGAAGCAGTTACAGAATGCCCCATCTTTCAGCAATAATGACCAACACACAGCTATCCTTTGGTAGCACCGCTAAACAGAACAATCCCTTTAAATTATATCTTAATGCAGCGATTGCCTCCAGACCCTGCAGTTTATCCATGAAACTGCTCGGAACTTGTCCTTCCAAGCTCCGCGATGTTCGCATGTGGCACACAAGAGGACCTTTGTCACAGTGTTTGCGTGGTGTGACTTTATGACCTGAATGGACCAGTGTAGTTTGTTTTCACATACGCTTTGTACAGCAGTCAGGGGACAGCTGGTCTGATGGAAAAGGGAAAAAATATTGTCCTTGTTTGTAATGAGTGTGGGAAATTAACAATAACCACAAGCAGCTGTAATACTTTAAGTCTACCAACCGCTTTGGCATCTGTCTGACAATCATGTTACAAGTTTTGGGTTTCTTTTACGTTCCAAAACTCAATCTGGCTGGTGAAATGCTGACTGAGTCTTTGGATTCCTCAAGTGGCCTGAACGGTTAGTTGAAAAATAATTAGTTTTTATCACTCATTTATCATGCCTGTCATTACAAAAGCAGTTTGGGCAGAACCAGGATGTCCAATAAAACCTATGATGAATCCTGTTGTCTGAGTGGGCTTTTTAAACCTCCCTGCTGTAAAAAGGAGCAAGAGACATGACTCAGGATGGATGTGTGGACTTTCATCTTTACCTCACAGGGCAGGGGCAGCCAGGCGACCGTCATGTAGCTGTGTAACATCTGGAGCTTGGCCTCCAAAGAGAGAGCCACACTGGGAGGAGGAGGGAGAGAAAGGAACAAGTCAAAGCTCAGTGAGAGGACATCTACACTCTCTGCCAGAGCTCCAGTGTTATACTTAAGGACATTTTGTTATGGTGGTTGATGATGTTATTTTATGGGAAAATGTAATAATGTTTTTGCTGTTAGACAGTATTGGACAACAGTCATGAGCTGTATTCTACACCATGATACCAGAGATAAATGTGCATGCATATACAACAAATGATTCTGTTATAAATAAACTAAGCTGTTCCCTGGGATAATGGTCAAGGACGCTAACTTGACATACAATAAATTGGCTCTGAATGGTACAGCGAATAGCAAATGCACTAAAACATCCTGCTGCTGCGCATTCTTATTCTGCTCTAGCCTTACAACCATTTCCAAACAATAGTAATCGGCATCAATAATAATAATAATGTGCAATATTTACTGTGCAATCCATTGCCCATGTGCAACTGCTGCTGCTACTATTTTGTGTTATCTGTTGTTGTGGATTCTTACTGTTTTTTTCTCTTGTACATAGTGTTTTTATTGTTTCCCTACTCTTACTGTTTATTTATACTGTTTTTTCTCTCTATCCACTTTGCTGTTGTTACATTGGAATTTCCCCATTGTGGGACAAATAAAGGAATATCTATCTATCTATCTATCTATCTATCTATCTATCTATCTATCTATCTATCTATCTATCTATCTATCTATCTATCTATCTATCTATTACCAGCCACTCGTGTAATATCATGTCTGTCCACCATTTCATCTGAATAAGACATCCAGTGTCATCAACTGACGTAAATAAGGTGGAAGGCTATTTTTACCGAGGTGCTATTTTGGCACTCCTTCCACTGGTCCATTTATAGAAGGTATTTAGAGTTAATCTTATTGTCAGTGGCACTGCCGCTAATCTGGAGTCAAGGGTCAATCCCTTCACACTGACACTCGGTCCTAAAGGGACAGGTGTCTATAAGGGTGTACACATGCAAAAGAGAACATGTGTCATTCTTGCTTTTATCTGTATCAGTTGCGACCCTTAAAAGCACTTCTGATAAATCAATTTGTAAAATGCACCTTATGAATACATTTGACCTGACAAACATATCTGGAGTTGTTTTTAGAAGGAGATCATACCTTGCCAGCATCACGTTGTCTGTGTCATCCTTGCCCCACTCCCAGTCTTTTCCAGGGTCCACAGCAAAGTGTAGAGGCAACATTTTGTGCTCCGAGTCAGTGAGAGGGATCACAACTGCTGGTAGAGATGGGGAAAAAAGTTCTTAGAAAAGAGATAAAATGTTTTAATCCAGCCCTCTGTAGACAAAAATACTTCTAAGTGCAATCAATTCTTTCACTTTCTATTTTAACATTTAGCCTGTTCGGTTAGACCAACATTGTTTTTGGCTGGTCCAATCTGATATTTTTAGACTGGTTAACAATGCAATGTCTGGACAATGTCTGTGATTTCAAAGATGCATTTATAATTTGTGCACAAACCTCAGTGTGAGCCTGAGTATTCCATGTTTCTCAAAATTCCACAAAACAGCATTTTGACCGACACGATAATAAGTATAATACAAAAAAGTAGCATTTTTCCAATCCAGTTCACTCTCACTCAATACAGATCTTGATGTCTACAAACTTTTTACTTTATAAGTCAAACATTTATCAAAATATTATTCAACTGTAACACTGAAAGGCAGTCACTTGCTTGCTCTACACTGAGCTACAGAGATCATTAGATATTCTCAAAAGCCCAATGGCCTTAGTCACCCTACTTAAATAAACCACTAAGGTCAATATTAAAAAAAGCAGAAGCAGCTTGGTGCTTCTGCTTGATGGGCTGATAGTCTTTGACAGGTCTGAGTGCTATGTATTGTCAGAAAACTGTTGTTCCAAACCTTGCACACATTAATATATCATCCTGATTGATGGCTTTAAAATGTCAACTGCTCACTGGGAGCCTAAAAGGATGATAATAAATATGAATGATGACGAGCATTACCTTGCTCTTTGGAGCTGTCCTTCTGCTCCATGGAGACCAGGGCAGAAAAGTGCGCCTGGTCGTATGCCAGGACCAGGGGCGAGCGATGGCACTTGGCAGCTGGCACTTCCAGTGGTAGGTAGATGCCTCCAAACGGGATGGGAGCAAAGGCTAGGGAAGAGTAACAAGGACATTAAACATCTGAAAAGCACAACCTCAGCACAGTTTGCAAGAACACTGGGAGGATTTGAGTCAGAAATAAAAAGGAGCTTTCACTGCTTTCAATAAATCAAACCAATATCTCACTTACTTCCAATTATGAGTGTTGCAATAATTCTATAATAAGACAGTTGTGACCTCTGATATCAGTAAACCAACACAACAGCTACAGTGCAACAGCTACAATTAACAAACTATTAAGGTTCCCTTACTAGAGTGTGTGTGTGCACATTTGTTTTATGCGACATAAATGGGTCACACAGTATTTGGCAGTAGTTCATTTGTTTGTTTTAACCTGATTGAGGTACCAGAAGGGTGGCGTTTGCTTCATTAGGACAACTCAGGCAAGCCATCAGTCACTGACAACTTAAAATGTTTTCTTTCAAATACTTCCTTCTGATTGTATACATTTTCTGCCAAGTGTAGCGAATAGTCTGTATATTCCAAACCTAATCTATCTGAGCTACAAAGACGATGAATTATATGAGGAAATTATGCAAAAATATTATGAAATACAGTACATGATGCATTAGCAATGGTATATTTACCCTCTCCTCCAGAGTCTCTCAGCATAGTGTCAGCCACGACAACTATGGGCCTTCTGAGGACGTGAGCCAAGACAAAGACGTGAAACTCCTCTAAACTCTCATAAACTGGTTCATCAGAGGACTCCGCCCTGTAGACCACAACATGGTTGGTTGCTTTACAGAAATACAATTGTTGCAAAACCAGAGATAAGCAAAGTTTCAAAAACTCTGTACATTTGTATGTGTCTTATCAATGGTATGCTGCAGACTTTTTAGTGGGCCACAAACACAAATTTCATATGAAGGTACGAGTATTTAAAGGAAAGCTACCTACATTTAAAAACATTTGGAACCACCTTGAAACTTCAAGATTTTGCATTATAGAGCTTTGTCAGTATATTTAACCCACTGAACTTGTGCTTGTTACAATAAATAGCAGATTGTCCGAAATGAGGGCCAGCCACTCAGTTCTGATTGTGAGCGCAGCTGTTTGTTCATGAATAAAAACATGAGTGTGACTAAGTGTGCGTTGGGTTAACAGTCCCTGCATTGTCCGAGCCAGACCATACCCGTTGGTGCCGTTGGTGCTGTAGTGTATTCTCGGCTCACTGGAGGCTAGCTTCAACAGTTCATTCCACTCTTTCTGCCACTCCTCCTCCGTGTACACCAGACCAGACTGAGGAGAAAGGAAGGACACACACACACACACACACACACACACACACGTTTGCCATTTAGAGAGGGAGTGTCAAATGTCACAAAAGCATGCACTGACGTTATGGCGTCTTACCACAAGGTTATATACTGACAATTGAGGAAAGAAATTTAGCTAGAGCCTTTACAAATCCCTTTGCCATTCACACAGGAGCAACAGAACCCTCATCAATATCATGTGTTTAATCTCCATATATGGACAGAAAGAAACTGCATATTAATGGGTTTTTTCCTCAGAATCAATGTCCCTATTCACCTACAGTACATTCAGACAAGAAAGCTTCCTAGTCCTCTACTGCTCGCCACTGTGCAGCTCCACTAGAGCAGTTTTGGTTTAAGTAATTTGCTTAAGGACACCTCTGTGGTAGCTGTTGAAGAATTGGTGAACATCAGGCAGCCATTCGTGTGGCATCTCCTCTGTGGAGGTCTGCATGCTGTCTGCAACCACTTTGGAAAACATACTTAGTGTACTGTTGTGCTTGCTTTCATGGGGAGAAAGGTCATTGTGTGTGTTCTGGCCTTTGTAGGATGTTGGAAGTAAACTGCAGTGCATTCACAACTCAAACAGTCTCTTTCTGGGGTATTGATAAAGAGTATCAATACTAGGCGGAGACACCTGCACTTATCTAATCTTAAAACAATTGTTTGTATTTGATACAGTAATCAGCATGTTATCAAGGCTGAAGAAAGACCGTTAAAGACAATCAAATAGCCAAAGAAAAATAGAAAAAAAGTGACAATGAACTAATGTTACCTTTCTGAAATGCGGATGACAAAAGGAATACAATCTTAACTCCTGTATGTGGAAGTGGTTTTGATATTTAAATCCTGCCAAACCTGCAGTGCAACAAGTTGTAGTGCCCACTCAGTGGCCACTTTAGGTACATCTGTGGGGCACCCTTGTAGCTCACCTGGTAGAGCATGCAGTGCACCGCAGTTGCCTGGGTTCAATTCCACCCCCTCTCTCCCCACTTTCCTGTCAATCTTCAGCTATCACTAGTCATCTTTAAAAAAGCTAAACCTGTAAAATCCAATGCAATCCAATACAACTGCCATAAAATAAAATGCCTAAAATGTTCAGTTTATATTATATAATATATACACAAACACAAAGGTGTTAATATAATATATAACATTTTCAATACTGCTAGAGAATTAATAAAAGCATAAAGTATCTGACCTCATAATACTAGTACACCAAATTACAAAGAATTTCTCAGCTATGATTATTTATTAGATGCATTTACTGAAAATCACTACAATTACAATTAATTCAAGTTTACAGCAACCCAATGTTGCCCTGCCTGTCTCTGGTTTTGTTTCCTGTTGCCACTGTGTTTTGAGCTGGAATTGCATGAAACACAGGAAATTAACAACAGTGAGCTGTGTACATTTGACATTTCAACTGTCTTATTTCTGACGTGCAGGCTGCAGGCTGGAGAGGATGCATATTATTTCTAGCAACATTCTCATCACAAGTTCACAAGCTCTCTCTATGCTTCAGAATACCACTTCCCTCATACAGTCATTACAGTTACAACGATGACCCAGAGAAATATGCACCCTCTATAACAGACCTCTTTGTTCTGCTGGGTCTGCTGCCACCTCCACCTGCGCTTCAGTGCTTCTCTCTCCAATCCATGATCCATCAGCGCATACAGAGACTTTCGTAGCATCAGGTCCCGGTCATGAAAACCCCACATACCTGCATTAGAAAATGTGTCAAAATCTTGTGTATAATTACACTTGAAAATGAAAATAATGAAAAGCATTTTAGGGGCTGTTTTGTATTTTATTTTTAGTGTTGACAAGTTTAAAAAAGGTATAAATTCTAAAGTAAATTAACTTCAAATCAATCATTGAAAAGCTATACTTGTAGCAATTTGTGCATTAAACCTATGAGTATCTTTTCAAAAGCACAGGTTAAGCACATAAATATTACTTCACACCTACTATCCAGGAGATGCACTACAAGGGCTTGAGTAATGCCTGCACATTAGTTGGGACATTATCAATTTTCTGGGCTAGGGCTCCTGAGTGGGCCACAAATGCTAAGTGAATGTGCACTGCAACGTTGTAAAATGCAATTAGTGCTTAAACTAACAATGAAGCTCTCTTAATGAAAGCTAATGGAGTGTGAACCTGCACGGTGTTGGGGTCTTGTTTGAAAGGTCTGTGATACTCACCAAGCGAGGCTGCATGTAACAGACAATTTCCATCTCCGCTTGTTGCCAGAGGCAGCAGACTCTGACAGTTTGAAACGACTTTTGTCCACCAGTTCAGTCGCCCTGCACGTGAATAGGAAAAACTTAGCTCACCTGTTTGCATTACAAATATGGCACAGAATTAATCCAAAACAATTGCTGTAGTAATTTCCATACGGAAAAAATGCAGAGGTTTGGAAAATAAACATATTGTGTCAAAACTAGATTTCCATGTTGGAAAATAGGATGTCACATGACTCTGTATTCAAGCATCCCAGTGACCCATGCCAGTGACAGCCATCATTCATTTTATTATTTATACAAGTGCTGCTGTCCTGCTGTGTCTTCCCTGAAAGAGAGCTATAGGAAATTAAGATTGTAATTTGTAAAAGTTATGTGCTAAGGTTGAAGCTTTCCAGTGATGCGATATCATATGTGACAAATTTGAATGTATGATGAGAAGCCTGTTAGTCTATTTTTTCTATTGTGGTGAGCTGATTGTTTGCTTTTGAGTGGTGATGTCCACTGTATGATGTGTGGTAAATTGGCATGGGTTGGTGTTCAGTTCTTCTCACCAGCATGCTCCAAGGCTACCATCATCGACTGCTCAATAAGGTCCCTTTCGATGAAGCCACGGAAGTCATCCCGGTATACGGTGAGGTCTGGTAGTTGGAAAGTGCACAAGGGCGTGTCCAGAAGTGGCTCACTACTGGTACCTCCAGTGCTTGAGACGTGAGAGCGGGCCAAGGACACAATGGTTGAACTGGCATGGGAAATTCCCCTCGACAGACGCTTTTCTGTTGCTGCTAAAGAAAGTGACAGACAATAGGTCATTTTCTTTTTAATCTTAAGTACATTTTAAAAGGTAATTCTTTTTAGCTATTGAACTTCAGAGTCAGATTCATGAGAAATTTTGCAAGGAAAAGAAAGATTGTCTTACAATGGTTAACAATCATTGTCTGCATGTGTCAAAACTACATTGGCTTACTTACTGATAATTGTCTGAGACTGCTTTCAGGTGCTTTGCGTTGGTGTGTGTCCTCATTTAAGATCCCTTACTGAGCCCAGCACTTTGAACTGGACTATCTACCAGTAAATTTAAACATTAAAACAAAAACATCTCACTTGCTGGTGGCCTCACCTTGCACCACCTCATCTTGGCGGTGGAGTATCGGCCGCGCTACCCTGGCCATTTCCTTTTCAGGGGGCAGATACATCCTATCCTCGAACGAATATGTCAGGTTCCCAGCATGCACCTGTCGTAGCTGCTCAAAGTCACTGAGGGCAGCAGTGATATCCCAGTTCTTGCCTACAGACAGAGAGAGGGACAGGAACATCTGTTTGAGCCACATAGTCCAGCATGACAACCTGAATCTTCTTTCAAATTGCACATCCCTAATGAGTTTAAATATTTACCGCAAGTCAATGCAACCATAGGCGGTCTTATCTTATGTAAAGGCCACTGGCACATTCCATCGCACGAGTAAATATCAGAATTTGGAGCACGTCTCGGCTCGCTGGCTTGCTGCTGTTCACTGCATTGCATTAAATTTTTAACCCATATTCTTATCTGCAACTTGTGTTGCTGCTAGGCAACAGGAGCCCTGTTGACTCCAGCTATACCTTCCTTCTGTTAGTGTATGATAGCCTAATTAACAGTAACAAGCCAGAAGCACTGGCTAGGACAGCGGACGAGTTGGCTGCTGCTCATAACATCACCAGCTGTCAACTTCACACAACCAACCCCCACACCCCCTTTTTTTTTAATTTGAATTTTATAAGCAACGGAAGCAAAAAAAGACTAAATCAAAGGATATGTGCAAATGTAACTGAAGACCACTGCTGTGAATACTCTGCAACTCACCCTCTAGCAGATCTCTGGCCAATCCTGGTTCAGCTCCAGTGGAACGGACAAAGTCGGACAGGACTGCGTCCATATCCACGGTCATGTGATCATGAATTCACAAGTTTGCGGGTTGTGTCCGGACAGAAAAAAAACAAAAAAACAATAAACAAAAAACAAACACGGACTCTGCTCTCCCTGACAGGACAGCAAGGGACGGGGTGAGGGGGTCCAGTCCTCTACCTTGTCCTACTCCCTATACCAGCCACACCTGAAAAGAGAACACAGATAAAATGAGATTAAACCAGCAGGAATAAACTCACCAGGGGCAAAAACATTTTCAGGAAAGATTTAAAACAGCTTAAAAGAGATAAAAGGAGAGTTAAAGCTTGAATGTTTACAACAGTGAATGAGAGACACACTGATATAATGACCCTGCTCAACCTCTTTTCAAATGTAAGCCTGTTGTGACCTGGTTGCTTTTGAACTTGACACCTTTGCAGTCACTTCCCACCCAAGATAACAGCTGTGGCACACAAAGTGAACCGGTTTGACAAACTGTTTCCTCAGATTTGCCTCAAAACCTAATAAAAGTCAAATGACAACACACGGGCAGGGTAGCTCCTAGTAGGCGAGATGTTCATCATGTGGGGAACTTTACAGTGTGGTTTCAGTCTACATCCTGTTTTTGCTAACACTTTTTAAAAAGCTGTTATGAATTCAGAAACGCTGTCAGGACCCATCACTTAAGTCATGACTATTTTAAAATCTTGACTTAAGACCAATGTGCTTCTATACCGCCTTCAGATATGACCTGTTGAATATGTAAACAGACAAGATTTTCTGCCAGAGAAACAGATCGTGAAGGGTCTGAACAGAAATCACATATTAAAATCCCAATGTCTGCCTGCTTTTGTTCAGTAAAAATCTGGATTTCTGTTTGTATCATTGTATTTAACAATGCTTTTAGATTCAGAGAATAGTATAAAACCTATATATTTCAAGGATAGGAAAGTAAATGGAGCTCAATGTCATATTAGTTTTCAAATGTATTTGATCAGTATGGTATGAGGACATCGTATTCCTTCAAAGATGCCCCTTTGAAATCAATTAAGACAATTTTACTCTTCAAATTTCAATGGCAGATCCAATAGACCGGCATCAGTTGGGCACTGAAATCGATACAGAAACATTATCAAGACTGAGAGGAAAAAAAGAGTCTGCATCGATGGGCCGTTGACACAAAGGATGTAGAGGGCAATCAATGTAGAGCCAGACAAAAGGGATGAATCAAAGTAGCTCTGGCTAAAAAAGATGTACTTTAGGGGCCAAGCTAAAGCTAATAGCCTTTATTTTACCAGGAAAGCTATTCAGAGAGTTCTTTTCCAGCAGTGCTTTGACCCACAGCCAGTCTTGTTCTGTAACATTTGTCCCTCCAAAGCACTTTGCTGGGTTAGTATAATGTGTAAATAAGTGTTTCAAACATCCGGTAAATCATAAACCTTGCCAATCAATGCAGTTCAAAAAGCAAATTAAATCTTTCACCTTAGGGCTGCAATACAGTACACTACTTTTATTTCACACTGTGAGCATGATTAATCACTTAATCAAACTCAAAAGTAGTAGTTTTGTAGATCTGAAGATTATTTGTGCTGCCTTTTTACCAATATAGTGACAGCATCAAACATGTAACCAGCACATGAATAATGACAATGTTCTATGTCTATCTTAATTACAAAATTGCTGTGCCCAGTAGTAAAACTATCCAGTCAATATGCTGCCGTGAAGATCAGAAACTTTTTTTCTTTATCTACCTACAGTCATCTATTCCCATCCGTCCCATGGCTCATCCACCACCCAATGTTCCTGCCTCATCTCTGACTCAGTGAACCCTTTTCCACTGCGCCTGATGAGTCACGAGTGTACTCTTCTTACACCTCTCCATCGTTCTCTCCCTACCTCCCTCAGTTTCTCCATCGTTATTACAGTAAAAGCCACAGAGGCACGCAGGGGAGGAACAGACTTCAGTACAAAAGGCCTTTTCTCAGCCAGCAGAGTATTTCTAGAGCCTTCTCTGCAAACTCAGGCATTCAGCAGCCTCCTCTGCAGGGTCTCCTAACATTCTTGCAGTTTGTCAATTCTGTGATATTCAGGTATGCTTATCACATATATAACAACTTAAAAGATGTGAGAGTAAAGCAGGTATCAAAACAGACTCAGACCCCATTCAGGCTAACACAGAGGATTGGGTTAAACCGTGTTCTGACCGATAATAGCACTGCATCAAAAAAACACCAGGGGCTGTGCTGAGGAGAGCGTGTTGCTATAGGTACCAGTAAGAAGATGGAGCTAATACGAACCAGTCCAGGAAGTCCAGTTTGTTATCAGACTCAAACACATGTTTCTACTCCTCTAAGGCAAAATGTTACAATTTAAAGTCGAAAGTTATCAAGGCAGCAATTGGCATGACGCTATAAGGGATATCTCTGCTCTAAGTTGGGAACTTTCTCATGTCTGCTCAGACACGCACTACCTTTGTCTGTGGTGCACTGCAGTAAAAGCTGAGCCAAGATCAACTTTGTATGGGACTGACCTGCATTTTTCCGCCAGAGCCTACCAGTGCGGTAGTCTTATTTCAATGAATGAAAAGAATTAGGTTTTCTTTTTTTTTTTTTACACAAAGCTACCGTTGCATTGGAGAGTGATCTAATAGGGTCAACGTGAGTCATTTGACCTGCGTGACCCTCATCCTGACTTCGAATGCAGTTTGAAAGGGATTATTAATATAAAAAGGGATGAGAGTTCAAGGTTACTTAAATTTCAACATTTAACTCTCCCAGTCAACAAAAAAACTGAAAAAGAGATACAGAAAGTAAGACCGAGCATGGCTAAAACTGTAACGACGAGGCCTTGGCTTGTGACACCAGTCTCATAGAAATTAATTCAATGCAAGGGTTTGTGTGACGCAGTGTATCACACAAACCTCTCCTATAAAAAGAGGTATTACAAGACTAAAGCTTGGTTGACTTAGTGCTGTTTCCTTCCTCATTGTGTTTTAATTACCTTAGAAAAATGTATTTTTATCTACAGAGGGAGAGGGTACTCTTCCACAAAGGCTTCCATGTTGAACCGTCATGTTTCTACAGTAGCCCAGAGCAGACAAACCAAACACTGACTTAGAGAGGGTTTTTTTTTTTTGCAAAGGTTTGCGGTCATTCGTTTCTCCTACGTGCTTGGAAAGGGGAGGGGGAGGCGAGGACATTGCATTCAGCAACTATACTGCTAGATGCCACTAAATCCTACCCACTGGTCCTTTAATAGCATCCCATAAAGGGAATTTATTGGTTTGATTATTCTTAGAAACAGTGTTGGCCTATTGACTGCAACTTTTGGCACATCAACTGAAAACACCAGGCACTGACAGCCAGAAAAAACAGTGAAAGGGGACGATAAAAGTGAAGGGCTGTGGACAGAAAGTACCAACACAGACTAACAAAAGGATGGCTGTTGTCACTCTGGGCCTGTAATGTCAGTCATTCCTGTGAACCCACGTTCATGCATTTGATGTAATGTCACAAGGCTCTCCTTCAAAACACTTGTTTCTGAGGAAAAGCCAGTGCCCTCACAGACTGTGTCCTAAAAGGCCTCCGGTGTTACAGCATAATATGATAAAAATCACTTAAAATTGCTTTAATCAATCTGTATGCAGAGTGTAATTACTATTGTTTATTTATTAGATCAGATTTGAGAGCATATTAGCAAGTCAGATTAGCCTACATGAGTCAAGCATTACGAAGAAAGGTTGTTGCTATGCATCTCTGTCAGGGATGGAAAGATTACCAGAATATTTTATTCAAGTAAAAGTGAAGGGAAAAGGGGAGTGGAGGAAGGGTGAGGGAAAAAAATTGTATATAATGATTATGTTATATGCCTATCAAATTAAAGAACACATTTGCCCCTATGTCCAGAGAGCACTTTGCAGCCTGTGCTGGTGATTAAGTACACAACTGTTCAGTTTAGCCTCCTTATAATTAACCAGGAAAGAGGACAAGACTCAGAAAATTCTACAAAAAGGACAATAAACAGAAATATCTATGGAATATGCAACTGGTGCTACACACATTATTAATCTATAGAAATTAAATAACCTGCCACTTCTTACAGAATTAACAGCAGAATAAAACATCACCAAGGCAGACAACACAGATGTGTATAAAACAATATAATAATCCACAGTGACTCCACTACATATTCAAACAAACAAAATAGCAGTCCAACAGTTTTACAGTTTTTTAACTTATACACAACCCTACTTTGCCTAGCAATAGTGCCATTGTCCTCCTGAGAGAGATTTAAATCCATCACAGTGAGTTTTTATTGTTATACTAACCTGTCTGAATGACTGTCTATGAGCCTCGAGCAGTGTGAAATCATCCACAATCTACTCTAAATTCAACTTCTTTGCTCGATCGTTCTCAAAGCGTAATATAACCAGTACACTCAGCCCCTCTTGTCGAGCTGCGCTCCACAACATTTTGGAATATTTTGAGCTCAGTGAGTTGCAGTCACAACGGGGATTATTGTCAAAAGCGGCCTCACACACTTCTATGAAGGAAAAGTCAGTACTGAGGATCCACCATGAGCATTTTAGCATTTAGCATGTTAGCCAGACCCAACATGCACTTGCTGGTCACAACAACATTGGTGTGTTGGGTCACTGAGCACACTTAGTGCATTAAACCAGTGATTAATTAAGGATGATGCAACCTATTCCCACATACAATAATGATGACCTTAAAAGGGAGAAAAGGATATGAGCCCATACAGAGCCTATATGAGCACACAGACATGAAACAAGTGGAAGAAATCATTGTGGACCCTCAACATCCCGTCTTCTCTGAATACGAACCTCCGCCATCAGGAAGAAGACTCCGTGTGCCAAAGTGCAAATCAAACAGACTTAAGTCATCGTTCGTCCCGACTTCTATCAAGCTGTTGAACAACAAAATAAATCAAAATGCAATAAACAAACCAGCACCGTAGCACTTTAATTCTTAAAGTCTCTGACAGTCTCTATTTAAGCTGCCACGTTGTCAGTGTTAAAATGTATCGTGTCTTCCATGTTTTGAGATGTTTTTATGTTGATGGTTTTGATTTTGTAATTGTTTTTTGATGTGTGCCTGTTGTTGAGGTATGCTTGTTTCTGGTAAGCAACAAACTGTAGCACTGTGCCCAAGACAAATTTCCCCTCAGGGACAATAAAGTTAATTC